GAATGTGTTTCCTATGGAACAGCAGCACAGCAAGGAAGTCCTTTCTAACTAAAATGTGGGGCAACGAAAAAATGCTGATCTCCCAAAATCAGAGTAAAATCAAACATAGTGCTGACAAAGAGGTTAAATATAGATGACCTCACAAATTAGCTTTGGTCTTGAAAATACTAAAAACACATTTCCCAGTAACAAACGAGCCCCATTCTGCTGCCAATTATACCAACATCTCTAATCTCATAATTCTTTTCACAAACTTAACGTGATCAACAGTAAATGAATGTTAAATGCTAAATAAATGAGCCACTTTGTGCAAGTTTAAAAATCACAGCCCTTTAAAAGAAACCTTCTAAGAAACAGATACAAGGTGACTGAAATATCACATTTTGGGGATAGATATACAACGTTCGATGACCTCCACTAACCAAAATGTCAGATCACCTGCAAGCAATGCAGTGTGTCAGCTCGCGATGTGTCGCGTTTAGAACAACGTCCCCGGGTCCACCCCGGTAAAGTGTCAGTCTGCATCCACCTGCGCGGGAGTGCAATCAGTTTGAGACATCAACCCCCCCCACTCCGACTTGAATGGTACATGAGAACATGTGACTCATGTGGGTAGTCAGCAGCCCCAGTGCAAAGCTGACTTAGCAGCCGCCATGGCTCCCTTGCTCAGTTGTACCCCCCTTGCCTGAGACCACGACAGTTTTCTTAAAACCATCAACCTGACCGGCCTGCCCTCGGCTGTGAATCACTTGTGCAAATTTCACTCCAACACACCACCAGGTTTTAAATGAAAAAAAAAAAAAGAAGGATAGCCTTATTTTCCAGATCCCTGGGCAGCATAAAAACTGTATTACATTCTACAGGTTACTTTCTGATGGCCTGTCCTGGGCAGGTATCAACAACTGCTACCGGTGCGTAGGTTTTCCGAAGGTATCATAATCAAGAAGTGATGGCGGCCTACACGTATGAGCACACTGCAGACATCTAGTGAGCTACACACTGTGAAGATGTTTTTTAAGCATTCTTTCAAACTTTCAGCAGAAATATTGCAATCATTTGACAGTTTCTCTATGGCTGGATCTACACAGGTGTTCCTATACACCAGCATCTCTGCAAGTTGTGACTAATTAATGCAAGTACATGTACATGTATTTCATATGTTGCATATGCCCTAAAAACTAATCTCAACAACTACTGAGGTACTGGCAGGCTCTCGCCTCACTTCTGCAGATGAGAAATTTCAAACACAAACCTTTCTCAGTGGGTAGCATGACCATGCTTCACTCCATCACTGACCTGGCACTCCTTGGCATGTTAGCCAACACTGAACAGGAAAACTACAGTCTCGCGTGCAAATTCATTTGAAAAGGTCTAAAGCCCTTTCCCATTTGCAAGACGCCACTAAAATAACCCTACTGACCTAAAACGCACTCAACTCTGCTCCACCTAAAGTTGGACCAAGATCACAGCTTCTTTGGGGAGAAACATGATTACTGCAACATGTATCTGATTGCAACAATTTTGCATGTTATTATATAACTCGGAGGCACTCTTCAGATCCTGTGGGATTCTACAGGTAATTCTTTCTCTCCAGCAATCATTTTAACTTGAATCCTCCATCAAATATTTGCACTGACATCCACAAGGTGCCATCTAATAAGTTCAAGATGACATATTATTTAGACTTCAGAAAATTTCATCGAGGCAGAGCCAAATGTACGATTCATTTGCTGGACCAATAAGAAATGGTTGCTCCGAGTACAGAAGTAATTTCCCTCTGAAATAATCCTGACAGAGAAAGACAGAACAGAAATGGACCAAGTAATAAAACAAGACGACTGGAAGATATGAAAAGGGGAGGATAAGGCAACGAAATGCCACGTTGCACCTGCACAGGACACCTGCTAGCAGAGGCGAGTCTCACTGTAAATGCCGCGGCATTGGGAGGAGGGAGGCAGTGGCATCATCCCAGGCTACTTCTTCCTTCCTAATCATTTGATAACATAATACACCTTGCCGTGAGTTGATACAAGGACATCCAATACTCTTGAATTAATGTCGTGCATTTTCGCTGGGGAAATTGGAACCTGCGACGGAAGACATTTCTGGGCCGCAGTTGTGTGGACATAGCTCAGTGGGAATAAAAGAGAGAAAAGAAAACAAGGAGAAAAAAAAAAGGCCATCTTGGCATAAAGAAACATTAAGGATTCGACAGTTGTTTCCATATTAGAAAGACAAAATGAACATTTCTAGGACAAGCCGACAGTGTACATAAACTTGGCAATTTACGGGTAACATTTGGCTCTCCCCACCCCTTTGCTCTCATCCAAGGGCATGACAGCCCACGACGGAAAGCTGGCTCCAACTCAAGACAGCAGGAGGACGGTCTCAGACTATTCTCGTCTCTTTCTTTTCTCAGCTACTGAAGATGACACCGATGCCAGTGACTGACAAGCAGACTTCATTATGTATTCAAATGGCACCATCCACATTGTGAATCACATGACAAGCCACAGCCAATTGGAATCCTGATTTTTTTCCCGAGGCGAGCACCACTTGTTGTCCAGTACGCTAAACATACACTCATTTCCCTGTCGCTGTGGGTGATTATATTTTATTTTAGCCCCACCCACTGAGGGGGAACTACTTTTTTGACATTTAATGTGACCAGGACACCTGATACATGTAGTTAAGATGCAACATAGTGCTTCCGTGTTCGAACAAAATGACGTGCCATTTCTTGAATACAAGAAATGAAATGACGAACAGCTCTGAGATAAAAAAGTAGCTCGGGCACGTAATTATCTTCAGCAATGCCCAAATGTTTCATCATGCTCACTGACGGGAAACATAAGGGGCTTATTACATTCAGTCTGGGGTAATAAAGACACCTTCCCGAGATGAAATCCGAGTCCAATGATCCAAACGATGGGACTAATTTAATCATACAAAGGTGTTATTGCCTTGAAGAGCAATGAAAAGAAGCAGAGCCTCCGATCAACACAGCCAGGTTGGCTTTCCAATGGGGTTATTTTCATTTGGACCACCTCGCTTTTACGTGAAATTATATTCAAAAACACACATGAAATAACAGGTGGTGTAGGAATTTCTAATACAAGCTAAATTGTAATGTTAAGAGTGAAAGAACAGAGAGTTAATCTGGCATGTGACCATCTCTCTTTCTGGGAAAAAACCACAGCTTCACACAATGTAAAAAAAGGTGGCTATTTTATGTTTCTACAGTACGGGCGTTTCACAATAGTGCGCCTCCTAGAGTTTGTAACATGTTGACCAATCACAGTTCATGAAATCTGTGGACCAAATCCATGTACATTAGAAAGGTTTAACAGATTTTGCGCCCTGTGATTGGTCAACGCATTGCAAACTAATCGCCCGTATTGAAACTTGTATTTTATTGGTGGATACAGGAGATTTCTAATAAAGTATGACACTTACATGTAAATGTACAGCCAAAACTTTCACCGTTTTTCTTTCCCAAATAGATTTTACACACTGACGTAAGTACATCAGGCAAGTTCTATTAAAATGAAAAAAATCCACGTAAACGTGACATGCAACTGGAAGTTTAGCTTTGGCACTGTTCTTTTCAGAAATAAAACCAGGGCCTGGATTCCCTCCCATCAGGGTCAAATAACCACGCATCAAATCCTCACCACAGGCAGCTCTAAAGAAATAAAGTCAGAACTTCTTTTTCCAATGGACACTCACACATGTTCTTGCAACAACAACCCAGGCCTGCTCAAAATTCATCCCCTGCTCCAATCCACAAAACCTCCCCTAACAATTCATGACCAGCCACCAAAGACTTCTATGACAGATCTCCACCCCTGGGGGGGAGACAGAGAGAGACAGAGAGAAGAGAGGGGTGATGCAAACTCACTGACAAGCACCCCCGTTTGTGAATATTCCCCAGACGCGCCGTTTAAGGCTGTTGAATATTCCACGCCGGCTCAAACTCTTGTCTAATCTGGGCACTCTGCTCAAATCTTGAGGTCCGAGGTGCCGGTGTTAGGGGGCCAGCGACCCTGCCACAGGGCAGTACAGGGTGAAGTGTTTATTCTCACATCATCAGACTGAGGCTTTGAATTACCTGGACGGAAGGGACAGCATCCAAAGAAACTGCTAAACGATATGCAAAATACGGCTAGGCACAAAAAAGTCATGCAAATAAAAAAAAAATTCCCAAACCATTCACACATGTTGACATCATTTTTGGTAATCAAAGCTTGGTAAAGATTTGTGATCATACTGAGATTTTTCGACTTGGAAAGTGAAATTACTTATTCCTTTACCTGGATTTGCTATATTATTTTTAACGGATGCTCATTCTGTTAATGGGTCATTACTCCTAGTGTTCAGTGGTATATGGGCCCTCATTTTCTCGAGGGGTACACTAAATTGGTTTGATCACAGTTCCTTCTCTTATTTCTGAGTTACTTATGCCACTGCAGATCTTCCAATTCACTTCACCAAAAAGAAACTCCGAGAGAAACCGCTTGGCAGTTGTAATGGCAAAATGGAAAAAATTCTGAACATCATGGAGTGGGTAACATTTGATGGGATCATCTCTTAACCCCCCCTCCAAGTAGAACAGTCAATACACGTTTGACATTTCAGAACACAATAGATTTATTCAGTGACTTGAAGGACTTCATCAATTTACCGAGTGGGCTGAACAAGTCAACTGTGCAATGCCTCAAACTTGACTTCACTGCCACCCTTAGCTTCAGGCTTTGTCTTTACAAATTTTGGCCATCGACTCTCTACAGGTCCTAGTTCCAAATCTATCCATTTTTTTTTCTAAAATCTGTCAATTTCCTCTTCTACCTCCCCCTTCACTTCTGACCCAAGGTTTCAAGTTTCAAATGGTCGCACATGCAGGCTGGAGATAAAGTCAAAGCTGGCAACAAAACCAAGATTTCAGAAATGACACCCATGCAATGCACCAGCAGCAAGCATAACTTCATATTGACAACAGAGGGCACTACACCAGAATTACAGTCAACCCGATGGATTTTAGGTGAATACAAAGTATAATGTATGAGTTACATGGCATTTCCACCGCACATGGCAAAAGGTCACGGCAAGACTCAGTACTTTTATAAACACGGCTCAACAACAGCTAAGTTTCTTTCTTACACTTTTTTGATCTGTAAAAATGTGGCTTATTCTTCCCATGTTGTTCATCCAAAAACTGGGAGTTGACTGGGTTAGATAGCTAGCTCAAGTACACAGCACTAGTCCATGGTTAGACCTTGAGCTAGCACACACTTTGCTCTCCAGCAAACTGCCAAGTAAGTAAACATTTTGGGAATGTTTCCATCTGCCCTGAAGGCAGCTTCAACCAACATCTTTCCCATACCGCTTCATGAGTGACCGAATGGCCCTGGCACGAAGTTCTAACTCAAGCACTTCCAGTTCCTGAGAAACTTTCCGTCCAGACGGCTTTGCTGGTGCCCCCTGGGCCTGCATGGCTGGCGGTGCAGTTTGGGGCACTCTTTTGATGTTTTCAACTGTATCCCTGTTCGAATCGTCCTCGCTGTTTTCAGACTTGCTGGCATTATCCTTGATTTTCTTGCTACAGTCAACATCGGCATCATCCTCTGTATTTACCTCGCCAATGCCATGATCGACACGACATTCCTTGTCTGAATTTTGCCCAACATTCTCCTCTGACTCCATTTCCCAGTTGCCTTTGGCAAAGACAATGAGGCTTTCATTCTCAATGTCTTCCTTTATTCTAGTGCTGGGGGCTGCGTTAGCCTCTTCGCGACTAGACAAGATTTTGTTCACAACTGCACCAACAGTAACATCCTGACTGGCATCCGCGGCACTCTTAGTACTATTGACATCAACAACAATGTGAGGACTGGTATCACCGTCAGCGTCAACTGAAACATTTTCACAGTTGTCGTCGTCATTGTTTCCATGGTTACCTGGGTTTGGCGGGCACTCCCTAGTATCACCGTGACAACCTTGGGGAACTCTGGCAGACTCAGGGGACTCCTGAGTGGCATCACCCTCCTCTGCGTCAGCCCAAGCGTGTATATTCGGGGATGTGGCATCCACAAAGTCATTTTCTGGTTTCTGCATGACTTCTTCAGCTTCTTGTCTGGATAGAACACTTTCCTCATCAGTTTCTAAACAAGAAAATGACATAAAAGGAGAAATCTTAAATTGAAATTTACACAGCGAAACAGTTTTATTGCAAACAAATAAAATCAACTGAATTCCTCTCCTGCAGCTGATTTAATGAATATTCAAGTAAGGGCATACCTTCTTATCCCATACGTTGTTGCGTAATTGTAATTAAAATTATGACACGTCATGAAAAATAATCTTGCATAAGTCCATGACTTGTGCGACTAATTATGGTGGTAGTGCTAATACACATGTGTGACCCACTCTGTGAAAATGAGTCTTAAGTTGCCAGAGCCACTTTTTGAGTTTTCATTTGTATTGGAAAGAGCAACTTGATTTTTTGGCTTTAATGTATCACTCAGTTTGACTTCACAAGCGGCACCTTTTTTTTCTCTCCTTGTTGCTCAAAATCCCACATTCAGATATCATTTTGAATGAAATGCACTGAATAGAATATTTTATTGATATTGTAAACATTTTAGTGATGCATGACAATGTTTGTATTTCTAATTTCTGAACACTTTGTTGATGCTTGCTTATACTATTAAACCAGCATGCCCATTATGGTGTAAATTAATCATTTAGATTGTGTAAGTTGAGCCGAAGTAATTAGAAATGGACAATTCTAGTCATTAATCATGTTTGCTATAAGGATAATCATTATTCAAGGTTCATATCAGAAATGCAAAATTTTGTTTTGGGGCGAGTGAAACATTGGCTTTGTGGAAACTTCATGCTTCCAAAGGTGAGACAAAGGCAAAATGAAACATTTCCAACATGATGGGGCAGAGTAGTTCAATGACTGTCTAATGGCTGCTGTAATACTGTGATGGAGCAGCCACCATAAATGATGCGATCGTCCTTGCCCAAGACATTTTAACATAATTTAATATAAAACACTGCAGACCTGAGCATTTTTCTTGACATTGACTGTAATCACACTGTAGGGCTGAGTCTATTTGAATAATTCACTATTCGAATATTCGACCTTCAATTCGATTGAATATCCGAATATTCGGTCTTACCGACAGGCAGATTCTTGATGATTAAACCACAAATACAAAATCAGTTGCAATAATGCACACAATTGTACATTATAATCACTATATTAGCTTGTCATGTGTACGAGTACATCCAGCCACGATTTAGCAAGATTTAAGCGACGAACATTAATCTCTGCCCTGTTGGAAATGTTAGTTCTTCTCAAATTTTTTAATGAATAATTCACTTTTTGAGTCATTGTACAATTTCTGTCGCTTTTCATTTAAATCTGCTTGAAACAAGCCTCTATCATGCAATTTTTCTCATTAAAAACAAAAGAAAATTCTCCCTTCATTTTCATGAATTTTACAATTGATTATTCCAAATCGGAAAATAACATTTGAATATTCGATAATCGATCAAATATTCGGATATTCGGCACAGTCTTATCGCACTTTGTGGCTATGCCACAAATTTGTGGTGTAGGGTATTAAGACATAGTACAACGCTATGCCACGTTTCCTGAAGTTGGCCGTTAAAAAAGGAGTCAGTTTTAGAATGCAAACCTTACATGTACAAGGACTTCAAGACAGCACCAGCAGGCAGTTGAAGACTATTGTTGCCATAAACCAGCCACATGTCAAGAAACCGTTAATTTGTTCCAATTAGATGAAAAAGTTAAATTGCATCTTCTTCATGCCATATGCATGCAAACAATTGCTACATATGCCTGTGTGCCTGAGCTCTCTGCTGTGGCAGACAGAGTCAAGAGGCAAATGTATGTGATGTCCTGCCCCGAAGTCACGGCATTCTATGCAAACGCGAGTAATTTTGAAACTTCCTGTGCACAGGGCACTATGCGGGATTCTTGGGGACGAGCGCCATTTTTCTGACAGGTAGTTACACTTGTTAACACCCATGCAGGTCTCTCCGAATTGCCAGATAGCTAAACTCACCCACTTCGTCACTAGTTATCTCCCCTTCCTCGCACTCCTCCCCCTCGGCCCGCACAATCTTGATGCGGCGGAACTTCTTGACTTTCCCGACTGCCGTCTTCTCTGCTTTCTCCTCCTGGTCCTCCTCGAAGCTTTCCTCCACGACGGAGTCTGCCTCACTGTCTTCGTCGGAGCGTCTGATCGGATCATCCTCGTCGTCGTCATCGTCATCCTCCACGTCTGCATCCTCATCACAGTACCTTTGGTGGGTCTCACTATCGGCGTCCTGCAAGCTGCCATCTTGGCTGACTACGTCATCCTCTTCTGCCTTTCCTGTTTGTAAATTCAGCACTGGTGAATGACAGTTGTATGGCTACCGTACCATTCCTGCCAACATTGAAAACTTGGAAAATAAAACCCAAAGTGCAGGCATAATAGAAGGGCCTTGTTGTCTCACTAATTGCTGCAATATCTTTACAATACTCGTTCACTCTCGATCATTGAATGCGTGACAGGTACAGTCGGGATCCTTTGGTCTGGGAACAAGACAGCAAAAACATATGTGCGTAGATCCATAGGGCTGTTTTTTTAGTGAGTGGACATGCAACTGGACGTGAAGACAAGCATGTAAGGCCGGGGCAATGAATGTGCAGTAATGAATCAAGTTGTATATCACTGTGTGCCAGTGAAGCAATGATTTCAAACTCGATCCTGGGGAGAGCATTTACTGTGATTCACTATTGTTTATGTTCTTTCGTGTCACCATATTCTTGGGATACTTGGTACTTAGTACTTGGCACTTGTTTTGACAAGCTTATTGGGAAGAAGCAAACTTCCTGAACATTCTACGGTGTGCAAGAAGGTTTCCTTACTGTTGCTTTTCTTCTGAAAATTGAAATGTTCCAATTTTGAGAATTAAAAAAATTGGAAAGGTTCCAATTAAATCAGAGCAGTTGGTTGGCATGCAGTCTAGCTTGAGTCTGAATTTTTCATGACTCAGACTGAGACTCAAGTCAAAATGACAAATTATATGGACTGGAACTCGACTTGAATGAATTGACCAAAATTATCACACACAGAGTTCTGTGTCTGATCCATGTGATTCTTGAGTTTTGGAAACATGAGCAGGTTTTGTAAATAACCAAAACTGACTTTCCCTTGGACAATTTCAGTTATTCCACTAGCTACATGTAACTGGACGTGTCCTCAATGAAAAAACAAAGCGGTTTAAAATTGCTACCAAATGGTACCAGATTATGACACCAAAAAAAAGTTAACTGGGCCAATTACGACAGCCGTGTTTCCCCCCCAGTTATAAAAATTTTGCAAGAGATTCAATACCAAAAACATTTCAAACTTGTAGGCTGTAGTGGGCTGAAACTGTAGAGCATGTTCCACACATAAATACTTGGTATATGACAAGCAGCAGGAAAGCCATACCAAACTGAACTCCCTCAAAAACAATTCCGTTAACCCAAACCCTCCAAGGGTACTTGGCTAGAAAGCCTGCCACACGCATCAGTCTGCATCATTTGTCAAAGTGGATTGTCTGCCCAGTGTAACAAGATCCAACAGGTCGACTCACCCAAGGGCCATACAGCCTGTGCTTGCCAGTCACCACAAGATCCAATAGTGGCATTGTTGAACTAGCTCCCAGTATCTTAACATGGCCAGTTTATTTGGCTGCTGTTGATTGCCAAGTGCATCAAAGTGATCATGCTGATGGATTATGCTGCGTCTCACAGGATTAGGGATAAAACAGAAAGTACCTGCATGGTCCTTTGCACCACTGTCTCCCCTGACAATCTCCTCTCCAGCCAGTTCCTCCTCTGCCTCATCCAATGACACAACCTCCTCTACATCCCCTACAGGCAGTGTGGCTTGAGGCAGGCTGGATGTTGAGTCTACCACCTCGCTGTTGATGAGGTTGTCGTCTGCGTTCTCGATCTTGGAGCTGTTCTTCTCGAGGTCCAAGTCAGACTCTTCCTCATTAGAGGAAGACTGCATCTCTTCCCCTGCATTTCAAAGAGACATCTATCAATAGGCCACCAATTTCACAGAAAAAAATAAAAGCACTTTAATTTCAAATCAGTTTACCCATCCTGGAGAAATTTCCAGGTGCAGCTACCTTTTTTTCAAGCATCAAAATGCTTAAACCTTCTTTTGGATTTGTGGAGGATCGACATGAACATGTAGGCTTGATTAGAATGGATTCTAATGATAGGTTACTGGGAATTCCGAGCTAGAAAATAAAGCCCATTCTGTATGGTATTATTGACAAGTTCTTATTTTAGATTTATATATCTGATCAGCATACTGTTATACTGTTTTAACCCTACACAACTAACATCCAACTAAATTTGACCACTGGTTTTAATTAATTCAGGGCTAAGCAACCTGGCCATTTTGACTTCGAACAAGATTTATGTACTGATTTCGTTCCAGAATGAGAATGTGAGACTTTTTTTTATTAACCCCTTGACGACGGGAAATTTGTTCCGAAATCTGACTCCAAGAATTCCAACCTCACTTGGCCACGAAGGCCACCTGCCAAACTGCAAATTCTTGGTTTGTGGCCCTGCTTTAAATTACACGGTGAAATGGCTGATTGTTCAGTGGCATGCGGCTCTACTCACCCTTCCACATTCCCTTTGCCTCTTTTCAAAGTGGGGACTATTGTGAAGCTGGTGATTATGATGCAAATTCGGTCTTTTCATTTCTGGGCTACACCATATATACACTATACAATATACAAGGCCAATCACCATATATACAAGAGCCTGGGTCTGCTTTCTTTCATCGTGTTCGCTCGAGCGTGGGCCAAGAATAATAGCTGAAAAGCGGGCTGAGGATCTCAATTTTTACGACGGCTCTATTCGCGTCCCGGCGTGAAGGGGTTAACAAGCTCAATTTTGGCTTCCAAGCTAGGTATTGCTCAGGGTGTTGAAATTAATAATGCATGAAAATGAAATGAATTGTACAAAATTGAAATAAAGAAACATCTTTCAAAGCTATTTTTAAATGAAACTGATCTGACAACACCAGTTACCTGCTGTGTAGTTGACCTACCTGCTAAGATGGACATGATGCGAGATTTGGACATCCCTTCCAACTGCAGAAGACACAGGTGCTGCAGTTCTTCCACTTTCACGTCCTGCAAGTGCCAGAAATACCTTTAAAGCTTCCCATTTTCCAAGCACAGGGAAATATATCAAACACAGATTCAAGCATTTAACACACCTTGCAGAAAATATGTGGATCATTGTCTGACGTGTTGTTGGGGGTAGGGGAGCAGGGAAGGAGCATGCCTATACTTGGTTAAAAAAACTCAATTCTGTGGAATTCACAATTCCCAAAATTAAAGATGTTGCCAATATGCCATACAAGAAAAAAGACTGATACACACACAGAATGCTACAAGTCAAACCCTTGCTTAACCCTAACCGCCAAGCATATTGTTTGGCTTACACTACACAGTACTACAAAATACTAAGTAATAGTCTGAGCCTGAAGGACCTAGCGCTACAGATTACTACTTCTGGCTAGGTTACTTCCCTTGTTACTGGTACAGAGAACAAAGCCATGCATTCATGGTGCCACAGCACTGTATGGTGCATTGTCTTATGCATTGTATCTTATGGCTTCACAGAACAATAAGGTCATGTCCTTTTACGAGCGACAGCGCTCAGTCCTACATTTTACTGCAAGTAGTAATTTGTAGTATTATGTAGGGTTAGGGTTAATACTGCACAATAAATCATCTTTTCAAGAAGTTGGACGTACAATATGTGACAGTCTTATATTTATATCACTCTGTTTCATCTTCAGGTGAAAAAGTCCTGAGGATGTCTGTAAAACCCAGGACAAAGAAGAGTAGATGGCACTCTGTGGCCCTTCAGGAGAGTTCCAGTGTGAAAGTTACCCAGGACTAGGTTTCATTTGCCTGTAACCAACTGCATAGGGCTCAAAGAGTCTGCTGGCCACAAAGTGAGTTGAGGTTGCTCTATTCCTTCAGTAGGTTTTCTCCTACACTTTGAAACTTCAAGCTACACCAGGAAGTCAAGGCTGGAGCTAAAAATAATATATGTGCCTATAGAAGCCACTAGCTAGTGGCTGCAGCCACTTCCAATAAACATATGTGTTACTCCTGGCCACGGCCAGTCAATGCCGACACTGCCTTTTGAAGTCCTGAGCTATGATACTATGAAGTCTCTGAGGTTAATTAAATGTTCCTTTAGCCACATTCCTCAAGAGTCCCCAGGTATCCTCTACAAGACATATGCTGGACGGAACATGGAGAACAGTATGCAAGTTTGGAATCTGTATTGATATTTTGGGAAATAGGTACAATGAAGGACAACTAGGTTAGCACCAGCACTGATCAATCCTGCATATTCAGAAAGACGAGAGTCTCTTGGCCTCGCAACACTGGAACACAGAATGAGGGGTGATCTAACTGAGATTCTCAAGATAATTTTGAGGACGTGGGTGAGCATATTAAACTTCTTCAGCATGTCACCTCAATCTAGAACAAGAGTGCACTTAAAAGGTTGTGCCAGCAAGGGCTGTGCAAATCATTAGGCTATAGGGTCCATTTTCTGGGCAGACAGAATATCCACACACGTAAAAATTTGCCTGAGAGTGCCAAACGCCAAGTCTATCAGACTGGCTCCGTCATGAATTTGATAGTTAAGAAGTGTACAGAGGTTCCACCTGCCAACCCTTAAGTAGTAAGTAGCCTCAGTGTGGGCTGAGAGTCACCTTGAGTATATCTGGCAGCATGGCCCGCAGCTTGTCAGCCTTCAGGACACACTTAAACATCTGCCCCAGCATGTCCTCCCGGTCCTTGACGTAGTCTCGGATGGGCTTCAGGCCGTTCTCCAGGTCCAGGTCTGAGTCTTGCTCCTCTGGCTCTGCCTTCTTGGCAGCTGGGTGGCCTTTCTTGGATTTCTTGGACGATTTCTTGATGAAACATTTTAAAAGGTAGCTGTACGTTACATTAAACCCAACCTTCCACGGTCCTTACAAATCTTATGGGTGGTCTCAGAGGAAAGTTGAGATTAACAAAGATATTTCAAAAGGGGACTTGTGGCAAAAGTACAAAGTACACTGTACATGCCATTAGTTTCGCGTACAGTGGGAGATTTTGAAGGATTCATATGTTTAGACAGTGAAATCTTTCTCAATGAACCTAGACACTTTAACATGAACCAGTAGCATAACTAGGGTGCAATTTCTAAGGGGGAGGTGGTAACCAAGGGTGCACACTTTTTTCAAGGGGACAGTACACTGAAGGAAAAAGTCTCGTGGTCTGTACATAGCCAAGGGGACACAAACTTCTGCCGAGAGTGCCAGTCCCCATAATTACACCACTGAAGCAAACGTGACCAAAATCTCCAAAATGAACTGGATCCGGGACCATTTACATGTAAGTCAATATTCCTTATTTGAGCGGGAATGAAAGAGGGCGTGTTTCGACATAGCAATGATGGCCCTTTGGTGGGAGCTAATCATATGCACGCACTGGTTCATGCGCATTTGGTGTGGAATGCACTGAGCACACACAAAAAATTTCTCATTGTCTATATGGTCATCATGTATTTATTTTAGCGCATCCACAATCACTGGCCCATTTGGAAATATTCTCACCAGCCTGTCTCTTTCTTGCTGGTGAGGGCGTACTTCAACTCGAGGTAGATTATAAAGATGACCAGTTTCAAATCTTGTCCCCCGACTCTTGTGCAGTGGTGAGTGGGAAAGTACATGTACCAGACTGTTTTACAGAGACTGTAATGCTCATCTTCCTTTCAAAAATTTGCAACACTTTGGTGAAAAAACTGTAAACTGAGCTTTTTAGTGATGATTTTGAATCATTCGAGGGAACGCAGTGGGATTGATCTATTTGTTCCTTGCAGGAACAAGAGATGGGTTTTTTTTTATCACTGATGCTCATTCTGGATGGAACTCACAATGTGCGAGCAAAGGCTTGTGCACTTTTGCCACAGACGCACTGAGCATGTCAAACCACTTTCTGTAGAATTATACAGTCTCTGTGTGCATGCCAGGCACCTACATGTACCAAGTAGATGAACCTATTCCCGGCAACCTGTCTCATCTTTACCAACGAGGGGGTCTACAAGTTGGGTAGACAATTCGCTTCTACTTATCTTTACTTTTTTAGAAAAACTATGGCTTGATTTGGATCCTACCAAAAAAAAAAAAAAAAAAAAACCAGAAAAAAAAGTTGACATTTTCAGCCAGACATGAAATGGTAGTCAACTACCTGCTCCTTGTGAGACTTTTCTTTGCCAAGCTTCTTCTTCTTGGAGCTCTTGGTAGTCCACTCCTCTGACTTCCGTTTTTTCTTTTTCTTGAAGCTATCGCTCTTCTTCACTTTGCCACTACTCCCTGATGAGTCATCTTTTGTTGAAAAGGGTCGATTGGAAGCGGCGGACGAGGTCTGGGGTATAGCTTCTGATTGCGTCGAGTCTGGTAGCATTGCCTTAGCTACATGTACAGTACAAGGGAATGAAAACAGTGGTGCAAGTCATGGTTATGGTTATGGCTACTCCATGGCCCGGGGTTCAATTCCTGGTTTGCTCCACATGTGGGTTGGGTTTTCAGTCCCAACCCGATTCTGTGGGTTTTATCCAGAATATTCCTCTGGGGTTTTCCTCCCACCCCTAAAACTGTAACTCTTTCCCCTTGTCTCCTCTCTACAGGTTTCTTCAGGCTTGCAAGCCTAAATGCGCTTTTGAGGAATCTTTGGTGTCATTGCCAAAAATAATGAATAATAAGTATAAGTCCATCCCATGCCACTGACAATCATCCAGTGAGGAGTCAAGTCACTATTCACATGGACCCCCCCCGGCATTCCTTGTCACCGTTAAACCCTTATCACACTGAACAGACCTGTAATTTGACCTGACTTAAAGTTTCAAATTCAGGCTGTCAAATCATGGTACGAACAATCAAAAGTGCATCGATCAAAATTTTACATCTTTTTAAGTGCAAGGATGTGGAAGAACTCAGGTTCACACTTCCACTATGTGGAAAACATTTTAAAAATATGACAATAAAATAATACAATATTCATTGCAGAGAACCAAGATTCTGGCTGATTTACTTACATGTAAATTTGCAATTTTTGTGACCAAGGATGCAGTGTCGAGCAGTGCAAATCATTTTTTTCCTCACCGATTGTACAGGATTACAACAAAAGTTTCTAAACATTTGCCAGTGGGACAACTAACTGGAACCCTAGATATCCATTTCTGAATTCTACATACTTTCCATGGCTCTTGAGGTTTCTGCTGAAAGTCAGTCCCACTTTTCTGATTGTAAAGCCTCACTGGTTATAGCAGGTTTGTACACGTAGGTATCCATACCTCCTCCTGGAAGTGGAAAAAAAAATAGTTTCATTCCTTGTACAAATACCAAATTACATGTACATGTAAGTTATGAGATGAACATCTAAGTTGTTGCTGCATTTAGGATTGAGGCCAAAAATCCTTGAAGTTATTCTTTACTGGATTAATCAATGTACGGGGACACTGCACGATCATTGACATTCCCGCTCTTGTTCTCTTGGTGGAGGGCATCTTGAGCAGAAGACTGGAAAACGGAGTAAATTACAAGTGTCACATTTATCACAAAGTGAGGCTATATTGTTTCCCCCAGGGTCTATGTAAAAACCAGGGTTTGATCTTAACGATGGTTTGTTAGCCCAATTTGAATAAAAACCGTACGGTCTAGTGAAGGCCCTCGTCTGGGTAGTCAGGGGGTCTAATAAAACAATATTCTGAAATATGTGGCAAAATAGTTGATATGGATGCATGCCCTCTAGCTGCTGCAGGTTTTTGAAACAAATAAATGGCACCAGCCCAGCAGAAGTAATGTTGAAGTCTATGAACGCACCGGCAGTTAATCGTCTGAAACTTCTACTCCGGAATGCCCATGCTATCACACTTTATTGTCGGCTGTTTAATGACTACTGTGTATGGCCCATCTCAACAATGCTATGACTTGACATTGGTCCTGAGACAAGATCTAAATCAGCACACGCTTTTATGCACTGCATCGCAGAGGTACATGTAAGTTCATGGATATGCATCCCATGCACATGACGTGCCCTGTGTGTATGGTGTGTGTGTATACATTACGTGTGCTACGAATTTGCAATACTGGTTTTTCTGACTGGTCACAGGTAGTTCTTACATGAACGCTGTGGCGGTTGCGATGTCGTGTTTGGTTCGTGCGCTACGGGTACTGGACATAGTCAAGAACGAACATGAACAATACATGTACAATGTATGTACTGTTAGGTGCGCCAAATCCACCAAAAAATAACTGAACATGGGCACGACAGAAATAAAGAAAATAAGGTCAGACTGATTTGTTCACAATTAAAAAGCCTCCAGCTGACCCCGTGGTAGGAGTATAGTGTGTGTGTTGTGAGTGATCTCACACCCAGCCTTATATGCTCGTCAAACCCTAACCAACAATACACTGTACATACTACAGCGACTAGGGCTAGGAATGCCTTATACAAAGTCAAAAGAACATTTGTGTGCTACATATTTTACGGTACTTTAAGTATCAGGTGGACCGCGGGAGATTAAGTAGCTTGACTGTAACAAGACATAGTCGACGGGCGTACATGTGCGTGTACATGTATGTACTACAAAGAACGTACATGTAGGCCTACATGTACTTTACATGTACATAAACAGTTCATAATGATATGGATTTGTTTTCTGTCTCTTGCATTGTGAATGAAACAAACCATTTTCAGCAGGTAACCACTTTGTGTGTTTAATTTGCTTGAGTAGAGTTGCGGATAAGTGAAAATGCTGGTGGACTGGTAAAAAACCATTACTGCTAGTCCGGCTAGCATCCAAAGTGTTACAACTGAGTTTGGATGCCCCATTTTCAAGACAATGGTGTTCAGTCATGCATGACAGGAGGGATACCATCAATCAAGGTATCGTTAGAAAGAATACTGCTTCTACTTTTTGGAGATCCTTATACACTATCTGAATATAATCATATCTCACGGTTTGGGCACATAAACCCCATTACTCAGGGTTTTATTTTTTTTTCTGGGACACCCTGTACATCGCGCATGATCATACACACGAGGGCCTAGACCTAGCCTGCTAAGATGATGGCTAACGTTACACACACAACACAGCCGCTGAAGTGGAGTCAGGATGCGACAATATTTCCTTCCACTCTACGCAATATCAATGTTTCCCAATTTTCAAAAGTACAGGGCCAGGGCTGGACCAGGCCTTTATAACTACTTATAACTACCTGAACATTATCCCAGTATCACTTTCTCTGTGCTTTCCATCCACGATCACCTAACTTTGCCTATTTCCACAACAAAATAATGTGGAAGTCTATACCAGCAGAATCCCAGACGACGGAATATGATAAGCCACAAGAACAACTAGCCTCACGAGGGTACCCGTCTATTATTAACTGCCCATCTACGACTGTTCCATGCGACTAGTCTAGAGGAAAAAGTTGGGCTGCTAATGGCTACAGCCAGACTGGCAAATACAATGGCCTACAACTTTAAATCTAGGCACCCCGTAAACAAAATGAAATTTTGACATCTTTATAAATCGTTAAATCTGCTTAGATGAGGTGGAAGTAAACTGTATGAATTATCAGAATAAAAAACGAGAAAATTCAAATTCTTTTTATCATTTGTGGAATTTATTATCACTTCATCAACTCCTATTTTTGCAAAGCTGGGTATCAACCTTGTGGCTGTACTTCATATATTTCAATCAGTATAGTCATTTTGTTACAGTCTAAAACATTATTACGTTAGTATTACAAAATTAAAAAGCACAAATCCATTAATCATGTGATTCAGTTTTCTAATGTGCCAGAGAGGTAAAATCAAAGTTCATCAAAGACATCAAAGTTCATCGTGTATAAATTCGATAATTCAGGTGTAATTAAGGAATGGAGCAATACGTCCTTGTGTACCTACTGAGGTAGTTCTGACCACTGACCAATCAGGACACATAAAGGCTACTTGGATTGGCCAGTGCGACGATGGCAAACATTAATTTGCAACACTTAAAGAATTTCTACTTCCTCTCCCAAGGAGTATCAGCCAACAAGGAACACACCGACAAGCTGATCAGAGACAATCATCTACAGGTAACAGTGATACAAATACATTAATACATGTTCGTAACACACAGTAAGTTGCAGGTGCATGTATGTATAGGGTGACTCAAAGTTCTAACACATTCCATCACAAGCCAATCTCAAGTCATTCAGTTCCTAGCCAAGCTACATGCTAGTAAAATGAACATTAACAAAGGCATTCCTCTCTCATAATTCATACCTAGCTACTTCAAATGTGTGTGATCAAGTAACCTAGCTTGAGTTAACTTGTTAATTGGTTTGTAATTAAACGAAACCTGGCAAAGACAATACTTTTCAAGGACAAATGTTTATCCCCAAACACAAAATAAAAATTTGTTATAACTATAACTTTATAACTATAATCAATTAGAATACTTATTACCAACATAGGCACCACCACATGTACACGCACTTCTAATGCTGGTCACATCACATGTATGTCAGACAGTTATCATTTGCAACTCTTGCATTTCATTTCAAAGTCCAAATTGGATAGCTTTGGTAGGATTTATTAGTCAAACGTTTTTCAGGATATTTACAACATGGACTTTATTCCCGAATTGAAGCCTGGATACTTATTGAAAAGGTAAGAATTTAATATTACACTTTATACTGTTTTCAAACATTTGAAACTCAGGCCAACATATGACCCTCTCATGGAAGTCTGAGAACTTTCTTAGATTTTATGAGTGAGGGGCTCAGGAAAGTAAATGATTTTCAAATGGAAGTTTGAGGACTTTCCTAGATTCAAGGGATTAGCAATTCACAAATTCAAGGATTCTCAAATGGGAGTCGGTGGAAATCAAAGATTAAAGATAAGGGATTAAGGATATTACAGTCTTCACATTTGAAGTTTGTGGAACTTTTCTCCTACTACTAACCAACTACTTTCCAGAATCTAAACATTACATTCGAAGAACTCACTACATGTATTGGTGCATCTTCCCACATCTTCACACAGTTTTTACCACCACAACGGAGACATTACAGAAACACTGGTGTAAACATGTAACACACAGACTACAGAGCAACCTCATTCAATACAAGAAGCAAATAAGAATGTGTGGCACTGGTAACGAGACTAAGGGAAATACTCACCAGAAGACGTACTAATGGCTGAATTATCAGCCTCTGATGAAGGCCCAGTCGGGTCGATAAGTCAGCGACTAGAACATCTTCTGGTGAGCACAATTTAAATGTTTATTTCCCTTAACCCTTAGTAAATCCTGAATTGTACAGGACCCTGATTGTTTCTTTTTTCCCTGCTAGCTGTGGAGAGTGTCCAGATACTGCGACAGAAGTAACGGCGGAGGACTAAAGTAATCCTGGCTGTTCTCGACTTTGGTCTGTCGACGGCCATCACAGTCATAACCTGTTTTGTTGTTGGAACAAAATATAGGGGGAAAAGCTTGGGTCAGCCTACTTAAGTACACGATCTTGGGGAAAGAATCTTTTTAATAGCATCTGAATGTGTGACAGTGCTGAGTACATTTGCCATCAAGTAAATCAAAACGAAAACAATATTTTTGCGTTCTATAATAACTTCTCTGAGTAACTGTGAGATCTACTTCTATGATTTGTGACACTGGTAGGATTGTTAAAACAATGTGAATTTGAGTATGGTCTCTGATAATACGTGCTTATGGATTAATTTAAAAAGTTGTTTAACTAGGACTCGGAATCAAATCCTCCGCTCTGTTAAATATCAACCGCTGATTCAAAGCAAAAATAATCATGTTTCTAAATGTCAGATGAACTTTTTTTCCAAGTTTTTAAATAGTACACATTTTTAACAGAGAAAACTCGGATTAGTTTGGATACTGGGCCCAATTAGGTGTAGAACATCATAAAAATGTGACTCGCCCAACAAAATGAGTCGCAAATTACCAGAGCAACTTTAAGTTATTGTTTTTAAAAGAAACTTGCGTATTGTAAATCAGTTGGAACCCTCACCAGTTTCACCATCCAATGTCCATCTTTTTCATTAATACCCATTTCTAACAGAGAAAACTGCGACTGGTTTGGATACTGGGTCCAATTTGGCGTAGAACATCATAAAAAAGTGACTCACCCAACAAAAGAGTCGCAAGTTACCAAAGCAACTTTAAGTTATTGCTTTTAAAAGAAACTTGTGTATTACAAATCAGTTGGAACCTTCACCATTTTCACCATCCAATATCCAGTTTTGTCATGATGCCAGACTGAGTGACACATAAAAATAAAGAGCCCCAGTTCGCTCTTTCTAATACAACTTAAAACAAACTTTCCAGAAGTAAAACAGCCCTATGACTCATTTTGTGGGATCCCATCACATTTTGTCAAACGGCCCTGCCAAACTTACTGGTGGACTGTAAATCCAGGTATTGACACACAGCATGCAGGAGCAGCCGATCAAAACTGCAGGTGATGTGGGAGATGAAGACCGCCCCCGGGTCATCGGTGAACCAGGGCACCAGGTCCTCTTCATGATTCTGCAACATACCCTACACGTGACAAAGTATGATTGATGTCATAAATAAATAATGTGGCCATTAAGGTGTTAAGAACTTAGATTTCTTCAAGATGTACTATGCGTTTTCCACATAAACCTCAGTGGTTTATGTACAGAATAATCACTGTTCCATTAATTTTCTGTAGTACCTTCATGTGTGAACAAAAGCAGTACAGTTTTACACTGAAAAGTGAGAGTGTACATGAATCCATTGACAGGCCCAATACACATAGTCTGAAGTCCTCAATACATGTACATGAAATGTGAACAGACACCAGAAAAGGATGACAGGTGAAGTCCGTGAACACGTTGATGGGTAATGTACAAAAGTTTGTTGACCTAAATCTAGCCCGATCCCCAGTCAGTAGTCTCTGGTCTGTGTGCCTGTTGGAATGGAGACTGTTCCACTGAACCGTTCCATTGGAAGGGTCCACAGGAATGGCCTATGTAAAACTCTTTTCCTTGGGTATGCATCATTGGTGAAGAGGTCTGTGCCACACTCTCCCCATTCGAACAAAATCGCACAATATTATAGTTAGGTCGTTAAAATTCTAAATGAGTTAATTAGCAAAAATGTGCACTTCAAATGTTCATTTAAAGTAGTCTCGAATTTAATTAAGGTTTAACGTGAGAGTAAAAAGGAAAATGTCTGATTCTATTAGTGTGGATGTCCATGTTGAGTGTAGTGTGTGGGTAGGTACCACAGACATCCACATGTGCATGTAGCCTTCATGTATGTACTGAAGAGCCACTTGAGACACGTTAACAAGTACCAACTTGCTTAGGGCAAGTTGGATCAGCGACAAATACTCAACCAATGGTCGATTTTGACCGGTAACCTATGCATTAGATATTGTGCATCACAGAAAAGCGACCAGTGGTTTAATAACAAACTGCCGCTGATTGAGCTTCCCCTTAGTTGGAAACTGTCATGTTTCGCACTTCAGCAAATCGGCTTCCTCCAGCAGACTGTTCCGACAGTAGGTTCAGCCTGGCACATGTGCTCCAGCAGACTGTTCGAACAGTAGGTTCCGCCTGGCACACGTGCTCGAAAAAGTGTGGATCTGTCCAGGGTATGGCAATAAGAACATGCTACTTTTAGTACCAAGGGACTTTCTTAATGGTTTTAACTGACCCTCGGAAGGTGTTTCCTGCGTAGCACAGTGCGCAATCGGCGGCTGATCCTTTGGAAACTCTCCTCTGGAGTGTGTGCTGGGTGCACTGACAACAAAAACACAAATGTATGCAAAATATTTTGTTTCATTTTATGCGGGACAAACAATATCTATTTCTCACATCACCCATTTCAAAGAGTAAACTGAATTCCGGGTCTTGAAATCGTTGAACAGTTCAAGTTTAGTTGATTTTACCCCCCAAAAAATGCTGAGTGTTTCGTAGTCTTACAAAATATTAACACGAATCAAAATTAAATAATTAGCAAGGAAAGTTTATAGTAGTAACTATAATAATAATTATACTAATTACGAGAATTTTACACGGCAGAACTACATGTAACTTTGACAGTGGGTCTTGGCACTTCACCAAGGTAACACATGACAAATTTTTTTTGGACGAATCTGAGCATGTAAGTTAAGTCTATAAAAAGGTCGTCATTTTTTTCTGATACATAATGCGTGTTTTCTTTAGTTAGACAACATTACAAAGAGTGGCACTGAAAAAATTCTTGAAGCTTTTCCTCATCCAGATGCCCAAAAGCAGAATGAAAAATTTTCCATTCCGTGAATGCCTTCTGGAATAAAGCTTCTGCTACATTGAGAGAGAGTGAGCACAACTACGGACCAGCCCAACTATGCAAAGGCAGGCCTCCCAATATTGGAAGAAGTCAGAATCCTTTTCTCCAAATCTGGAATCTTTCATGAAAAAGCGGAACATTCTCTATACTACCATGAACAAGGAAAAATCATTGCAGTATTGTACAAGAGTCGAGTCCGTGATGATGTACAGTATCACCGATTCCGTAAAATTTTGATTTCAACAAAAGTTTACATCATCTGAAATGGTCTGCAATAATTTTTCATCTCCTAAATGTGTTGAGTCGCCGCAAAATTCAGCTCAAATTTAGAGCGAAATTCACCGCGTGGTGCTTGCACACTTAACATGATTTTGGACAATTTCACAGCAGGGCTTATGATCCAAACATTCTTAGCCGTGGTTTCGAGTGAAACCGGGTGCCGTGCGACGCATACAGTGTTAGTTTCAATGTAGCTTGTCGATAGAGGGTGTTTTATCAAGTGATCACGTCCAACACATGGCAAGTGCACGTTGAATGAGGGCGCTGCCATGATGTGGTGTGTTGCAGTACAGTGCATGCACAAGCTTACGACATTTTCTGGTAAATGATAGGCGAGTCAAAATTGCGATTTGGCAGAAATTGAAGGGGCGAAATCAGAATGGCGGAAACAAAGTGAAAAGCAGAATTTTTCCACCAAAATCAAGAGGGATGAGAGGTCTATAATGGCCAAGAAGACCCTGATAATGGGAAGAACCCTCATGATGGTTAAAAACTTGAAGGGTCATTTTCCTTTTTGAGGGCACAAAAACTACTGTTTCTCACAGCTTCTCGAACACACAGTGATCTGGTACCCCGTTTCCAAATGCTGAAATACACAAATCTACTGGAGGTCAACAAGTACCTGTTCGCTTGTCATCACTCTTGTTGTCAATGTTCTTGTCGGCAGCATCCTCTGAGGCTCCCGCCTCCTGTTTTTTTCCTGTCTCCTTCCTCGGTGTCTCTTTGGTGGCCACCTCCCGCAGGAAGACCTCCTGTTCCTCCTCTGGACGATTCATGAAGTCGTTCCATATCTGAAGTCGTTCCATAATTGCAAGGTTACCTCACACAGTCTCTCATTCAACAATATGCAACTTGACCTTGTATTAACATTAGAAAATGCCCGACGAGAAGTGATAATGCCCGCTGCATAAATCACACGCTGGATACAAGACAGTTTAATCAATTCTGATTGGTCAAGAGTCTATGTGCACGTGGCTCACAACACACGTGCCAAGTCCATATAAGGAGATTCTTTTGGACAACTTGCACAAGGAATATACCATGAAATGGACGGGGATGTTCAGGAAATTGAATGTAAAATTCTAGAAAAAAATTGTTGGAAGTCCCTCTTACATTGACTTCTTTTGGCTTTCTGACTAAAAAAAGTATTTATGAATGGGAATAATTATGTGCCTGGCCAAAAAACACTAACGCTTAAAACCAGCTCAGGAGACTGAATGCTGATAATGCCCTCTCCAGTCCATTTTCCTAAGCTGGTCTTAAAGCACGTTAAAGACTACCCAAGTACAAATTTCTCCTTAATATTAACTGATCTTTTATCACAGGCCTAGTTTATTTCCCTTTCTATTGCACCTCCTCTGGGATTGGCTATGCTTACCTCCAGACTATCCCGGTCAGAAAGCAACTGCTCAAAGACTGACTGGCTGGACTCCACAAAGTCGTTTATTGACACCTCCCCAAAGTCAGTTTCATCGACCAGGCTCAGTAGGAAACAAGCTGTCATAACAGAAGCATACATGTACACACGAGTAGTTATTGAAATCCATACAGCACAGAAAAGGAAGAACTGTTGATGGAGAGAGCAAGTGATGAGAAAAGTATAAAAATGTCAAGACTATTAAACATCATGGAGGAGGTTGATGGAAGTGTATCCTTCTCTGTATTTGAGACAATCATCATCCAACCACAACAGATCAAACAATATGGATGTTGGCCACGATTGGTTGCTCAGCACAACTGGCCGATCAGACTGAAATATCGGTCAAGCCAAAAAGAAATTTCAGCCTTTATTTCCCTTTCTTAAAAACAATCTTCCACATTGACAGATGACACAAGGATTGAGAACTTATGCTTCAAGATTGATTGGTCATGCGGCGATTGAGCCATTGCACAGATCAACTGATTGATTTCACCCGAAATAGATACATGTACCTACTGTTTTCATATCGCCGGGTGCGTTTGTGGCCACCTGTCTTGTGACCAGCCGATTTGGGAGAGAGAGTTGGACAGCAGTGACGACTCAGTCTATGCTTTGGTTTCCGTGGCGACCTAGGAGGCTTGGGTTCAACATTTTCAGGCACAATGAACCTAACAACCAAAAATACATAATCACCAAAACATCTCGACACTTCGCATTCTGGTATATGTATCATGTAAAATGCCAACGTTTCATGGGAAAGTTTATTACAGGCCCTGAAATAGTCCCAGCCTGACATAAAAACTCAAGAGAAAATTACTCAGAGCTAGCCAGGTGGGCTTTTAGTAACCATCCTGTCAAAATTTAGATCAAAATTATTATAATGTGTCTAGTATCAAATAAGATAAAGATTTTACAAAAGTAGGCCTATGAATGTTAAAGCTTTCAGTTAAAATCCACACTCATTTTGTGTAAAAAATAATCAGTTTGCTCTGCATTATGGGTACAAAATATCTTCAAATCAATTTTTCTTTGCTTTACAGAGTCCGATGAAATTCAAATTTATATCAAAATAGTTTTTATGATATCCTCTCCAAGATCAATTCAAAAATAACCCCCCCCCAAAAGAAAAATTTAATAGCCTCCCTAACTTCGTAAATAGGATTTTTGCATCAGATCAGCATGATCATTAAAAAAAAAGAATTATTAATTACGTTGCTGGTCTACGTGAAGAAAAAGGACGCATGGCAACTTCCAAATCAAAAGTAAATAAACAGGTCAAAATTGTCCATCCCTTGTGCAATTCACTGATTCAATACACGGAAGGCACGCCCTCGCCATAGTACAGTACTGTATGCAATGTGATCAGTACATCGAAGTAGGAAAACATCCGGACATAAAATATCCGGAAAAGCCGGGTGATGTTCATGGAGCTCCTTTTTCACTGTCAAAAGGCCTTTACGATCAAAACTGCTTACTCGGATCCTTCAGGAGGGACGTTTTCTTCTTCATCTTTCGTCACACCCATTTTAGTTGCTTATATCCGATCAAAACGCAGATAAAACGAGCACTTCTCCGCAACAACAACCTGGGGCTGGGATCATTCAACCTGTCAAATAGCCATCAGTTAGCGCGGTGCCCTATGTCCGTTCACGGTGTTGGCGTGTATTTGTCGTGTAGGTACCAAGTGGTGGCTATTTATAGAATGCACACAAACAAAATCGTTAGACGAGTGGAAGTCAGGTGTGCTGCGTGTGCATGTGACGTGCATGCCAGTGCATCGTGACGGGAGGTAGGTCGGTCGTACCACAGACCAGATCTCCTCCAGGTCTGTGGTCGTACGTACATGTGCATCATGTACACGTATCATTCCAGAAGGCGGTTAATTCGGATCAGGTAGTGAGACGTAACGTTAGACATATTTAAGAGAAGGATCGAGTTCTACATGTACATGAGGCCAACACCTTCCCTACATCTCGTACACAAAATATAGGAGTGTCCAACATCTATGGGTGAGGACACTCATGGGACACTCGATAGAAAACTCAAAAGTTGTAATGTTGACCCATTTTTAAGAAAGCCAAAATTCCTTTTTGGAAAGAGTTCCATGGCATGTGGCATGTTACTAGTCGGAGTAACTTGGACTTTACAAATCGCCTTTTTAAACATTGGGATAAGATCAGGCGACAGCTTACTTTGAGAACTCAAAGTCACTACTCTGTCATACTCCGTGTGACAGAATATGACGGAGTAGTGCAGTTTTTCCAAGTTGTGACAGCCTAGACCACTACTCTGCCCACCCTTCAGTGGTCATTTTTGAATGTTCAATAGGGCCTAGGCCTATAGGCTTCTACATTCTTTATTTCTACTTAATACATACATGTATGTCTTTGGTATTATTACAAGTTAACCTCTGCCATTGGTTTTTGTTATGCATGTTAATTAAGTTTAAGATGTCAAAGTCCTGGTGCAGTGGCCTTACCCAAGAACTATGGGTTTTGTGCATCCAGAAGTTGGAAGGAACAAAGAGTTCCATTGTTCTATGGTGGCCCATTAAATGATGAGACAGGTTGCTATGCAAAACTTGGATGCAAAGATTCATAAAATTCCAAATCAAAAGGTGCTATTTTCATTTGTTAAATTGCCGAAAAAAAGTTGGAATCAATCTTGTTCCCTTAAATAGGTAATGTTACCGTGGTGAAGTTGAGGAAGGTTTTCATCCATCCGAGAGCGAGCTGAGGATTTAAATTTACCAGTGCCAAATTGGCAGATAGTTGCTAATTTGCCATCATGTCCTTTGAGGCGTTTCCCGCCGAAGTTGTTCAACAGTTCAATAACCCTGGACCATACTACGTTCGAGAAAATGGAAAGCTTCGCTCTCCACCTGGCATGGGCTCTTGTGCCCGGTCGCTCTGCAAACCAGGCCAGACTACCAATCTTGTGATACAGGCCAACTCTACAGACGGTTTGGAAAACTCCCCACGTAAACTCTTCGACATAACACTGGACTTTGTCACACTGAACATCGGACTAGTGGACTCACTGGTTGGGTTTCCAGAGGTCGTGGGTCGGCAGCTGTTTGAAGCATCTCATCGCCATGGCAACCTTGGCCTTCAGGCATTGAGGCTGTTCAGTGATGCCTATGGAGATGCCATTCTACAGAGCATCAATCTTAGTGGACATCATCTGGCTGTCAACCAGCATAGCAACTGTCTAGCGGTCTTCCAGTATTTGTCTGAATTGGAGGTCGGAGGTTGTAGCCTAGGAGATGACCATGAAATTCTCCCAACCATAGCAAACTGTCACAGGTGAAGAATAGCTTACCGGTATAAAATGATTGAATGAAATCCATTATGTGGAGACTGACTTCAAGTTGTTTCTCTTCAAATTTCACACTGAAATAGACTGATTGCACCTGCTAAGTTTCGTGACGTATTCGTCCTCCAAAAGCAAAGTGTTTCAAAAGTATCATATGCCAAAAATAAAGCCGACGGTACGTATCGTACTCAGACTACTGATGTGCTGGGTACTATACCGTAACTTGGCTGTGTTGTTTGTAAACAACGTTCAAAACACACATTGCTGTGGGGTTGATACCCATTATGTAGGTCAAGTGATTTAGCTGGAGCAATTGGTCCATTGTTAACCCGTGTTCCCTTCAATTTTTCAAATCAACCTGCTAAAACTAAGTCTACATGGCTTAGTGAATTCAACACATTCAGAAAGCTACAATTTTTGTTCACTTTTCAAATCAAAATTAATTTTAGAGTACACGTCAGCCACCAATTATACTTCACTGAATGCAATAATGTCAAGCTTTTTCAAACCATGGAAGTTGATGGTTCCTTGAAGTGTTAAAGACCAGATTTCAAATATTTGGGGGGAGCTGGTTTTGTTTACTGCAACCATTTGTGCTCTGTTGAGTACAATATTTCAGCAGAAATTTAATCAAACACAAGGTCATCATTTTCGCCCTCTTTTTTTGTTGACAGTTTGAAAAGACTCGGACTGGCAAACAACCGTCTGACAGATGTTGGTATGCAGAGGTTGACATCTCCACTACGAGTAATGGGAAAAGGGCCAAGAAATCTGAGAATCCTGGATCTGTCGGGTGAAGAACAAAATTAACTCAAAGACCCCCACATTAGCCTCTTGAGATGAACAGAATATTCTTGGTTAAAGAAAGTCTGAAGCTGGTAAAGCTTTATTTGTATATCAACAGTTGCAAAATTGAGAATCAATGATTGACGTTTCAAGGATTCTTCAAGTTGAACATGCATGCCACTCATATTGACAAGATACTAGACGGGTGAGCTGACCTTGATGGAGAGGCCTTCTGCAACCTCATTGGCTGCTGTATATGTGTGTGGTCATTCCCTTTACTTTGATTGGCTGAGGTCAGAATGAAGCGGATATATGGCAAACAAAACATACAGCATCAGTGCGTGCTTGTCTTATAATTGAGTGACTGTGGTAATGCTATCCGTAGTCATTTGCGGTGCTGCCCCGCCAATGGTGGTATGCATTGTGGTAACTATTGTACAGAGCCACTGTTTCATGATAATCCTTCCTTACGGTACCCAACGCAGTGCTTTCCCCCATTTATAGGGACCGTCAGGAGTGTGCAATGAAAACGTTCCTGTATTTGTTGATAATCCAACTTGGCTTTACAGAATTTCTCCTTAGAAAACTTGCAAAGGCAAGCCCTTGACTTAAAAAAAAGTTGTCCACTCAATATATTGACCCAGTTGCCCCACCAAATGCACACATGGCCAGTTAACACATGCTTCTCTCTGATTCTATACGGTAAGTTACTGTTCCAGCTGCACGTATATAAACATGCACGCATGCCAGACATATGTTGTCAATCACAGCTGTGATTGGTTGAAAGACCATGAAGTGGGGCTTAAAGCATCGGCCTATTGCAGTAGATCACTCAGTAGATATGCCTTGGTTACCAGTGTCCACCGTCCCCGATAGTGAGCGATATTTTTCCTTTGGTGTAGGTAATAACTTGATCGGTGACAAGTCTGCCAAGTTGTACCTGACTGCTTTCTCATCTCTCCAAGCGATTGATCTGTCTGGCTGCAGCGTCACCGTAAGTCTCATTGGAACGCGGTGAGAATAACACAGCTGAGTTAGAAATTGGTAACCGTTCATCAGTTTTATCACTCTTTTTATGCACAGTTGGAGCTTCAGAAAACTATGCTTGAAAAGTTATCCTCATTAAAGCTAAGGCAGAGGTTGAGGCAACAACTGTATTGAAGCACAAGTTGTAGCGAAAAATCACTGAAAACACCTTAGATTATATATGCAAATCAAAACCGTACAGACTGTATTTAATTCATGATTCCAGCTCTACTGCATTTGAATGGCTTCCGAAAGATTATTCTTTGTAAAGGGTAAGGACTGTTTTCAAGTCTGTCAACATTATTTTGAAAAGTTTGAGTTGTGGAGAATTTTTGAGGCTAGAGAAAGCTTACATTGATGAGGAAATACTTGCAGACTTGGAGTTTCGGTTACCACATTTGACATCTGCCATCTTTCAGTCACGTGGCCTGGACATGCTGAAATCCAAACTGAGACTGGAAATCGGTGCCTCGTCAGATGCTTCACCATTCCATCTGCCTGTCAAAACCATTGGATGGGCCTTCCCTTTAGTGGCAGAGTGGATAGTATCCAGCACTGCTCTGATGCAGAGAGCCAAGACCAAGGCTAGCAAGGACCACGCTCCAGGGGCATCCAAAGCAATTAATTTCAGTGAGCAATAAGTTGGTCTCTCTTTTTGGAAAATTGTCACCAAAGTAAATTTCACTTCAATATTTTATCCCTTCAAAATGTTTGCCCACGACAAGATCCTGCTGGAATCAACACGTTAGGCCCTCTTTCAAATCCACAATTTTTATCCCGACAGATTGCCAAAATCAATTATTTTCCAAGGTGTTTGTCCCTATCCGCCTCGAGTAGAAGCACCTCATTGGCTGAAAAGAGTCATTGGTCAGGAATGCATCATTTTGTTGGTAGTAATGCGACTGTAACACATGCTTTTCATTAGTTATTTTTGAACCAGCGAAGATCCGTTCTGACCAAAGGAGCCTCCATTTCTTAGAAAATTGCACCCTCTCTTGGTAAAGCTCAAGGCGCATTAACCCTGCTCTAAGTATCATGAAAGAACCCAACTGTATTCAACAGTGTCCAATATCAATCAAAATGTACAGAAGTGTGGATCCTGCTGAATCTGAAAGCTCAAACTTAATCTCTTTGCTTGGGTCAACAATATCTTTCTTCCTTGATTTTTTGGTGTTTTGCTCTTGGAACTTACAGGACTCAGCAGGGTAATGGTTAAGGTACTTTTGTTGTATTGAATAAGTTCCTGTCTTCACTTTTAAGACATGTTCTGTCTTTTCAACAGATGGAAGAGCTCTTAAACGGCTTGAGAATGTTTCCGGGAGTTCTTTGTCTGAAACTACACGTCCAGTCTTCCCAATTGTTCGACTTGTTGCAGCCACCGCCCTGGGCAGCCAACCAACTAGTGACCCAGTAGAAAATGAGGTCTCCATGTCAGAGGTCAGCAACGCAGTTGAGAGACGGTCAAAGAAGTGTGTGCCACGCCAACAAACAGGTGAAGATAACCATCATCAAAGGATGTTAATTCGTACCTGAGCAAAATAGAGGAGGCATTAATTGGACAGTACTCCATCAGTGCAAAGCATAAATTTCACAAGAACAAACCCGCAAGCAAACAAGAGCACTGGAGCTCTTTTGACTCGGACTTTGATGAGCCAAATGCCAGCGGAGGTAAACCAATCCTCAAACATGAGCCGACGAGGATTGGAAAACCACCACCAAAGAAGAGGATTAAACTCTGCTCCAAGGTATCCAGAGGATTTTCTGACATTCCACAGGATCCACAAGTCGACGATGTCAAATGTGTCAAGCCAAGACCAAAGAAAAAATCTGTTTCTTGTCAACAGATCTCCAATCGACAGTCCGAGGATGAAGTCATTTGATCTTGAAGGGTCAAAGGTCATTTTCGAACCTAAAGACTATTGATGAAAAGTGCATGTAGCAGCAGACACGGACATCACAAATTGTACTGAACTTGCTCACTTGACTACAAGGAGCAACAGTAATTCAGACGTGGAGTTGGTTTGCAGAGCATCCCTAACTGTAGAAAGAATATTTTCGGTGACCAAGCCAGCAATTCCACAGCCACTGCATTCTGGAATGCAATGCACAGTGAAGAATGGGGTTAGCTGGTCATGAGCTACAGTGTAGTACAACTCAGTCGCACACAATTACCACAGCAGTAACTATTTCTCTACCAGCAACATGAAACTTTTTATTTCATCAATATCCAGTATCATCCACATGATGACATCTACATCATTGTGTGCATAGAATAATAGACAGTTATAAAAACGATCCTGACCTCCAAAAGTGCTGCTTGAGTATGGGTTTGAAGGAGGGTCTTCAAAATTGTGTCAAATTTTGAGTTGTATGACATCCGCACTCAGTAGGCAGAATTAAACAGGATTCACAATGAGGTTTGAAGCTTTTCATGTTGGAGGTAGCAAGTAAACTAGATAGGTTTGCGGTAGCACCACGGAGAAAGTCTCCTGACGATGGACAGAGCATACTGTCCTGAACGTTGAGTACCACCAGTTCTTTTCAGAGCCCCACATACTCAAAATAGAGATATACCCATGGTGCTACCGCAAATCTATTTAGTTTAGGATTCACATTACATGGGAATGTAAAAACGCAGCAAAATTCCTGAACACTGGCAAAGTTACTTCATTCTCTGAGTAGCTAGTATGAATCCATCTTCACTCTGGTTCAACTTCTAAAACGTCTTGAATAGACTCCTTGCATAGCTATGCATTAATTAAAAAGTACATGTACAAGAAACATTACCGCCACTGACGGTCACTTTAGCATCATTTCTGCAGAAAGATGCTGCTGGTTATGCACATTTCACTGACAATTAGTCGTGCACATGGTGTGCCATCGACAAGGATGACCTACTGTGTACACAGCCCTCTGTGACTAGTGCAAACAGGTGACACAACTATCTCATACATGTACATGCACTTCCTGAAACATAAAAACTGCCTTTGGTATTGTGCTTGCTACTTAATTATACTGGCAAATCCAGCTGTTATAAGTGAGACCCCTTACACTGTAGGACCATCACAAGACCAGCAGCTCAGACCTCCAGCCTAAAAAGGCCTATGCACTGATGACATCGGGCTTTGTTTACATGTGCACTTTCCTACTTAGTTAATGGGGGCCCACGGCTTACTGAGCACCACAGGAAAGCATACATGTACACAAAGTGTAGCATCATCAGCACAGAGGTGCTATTCAAATGAACTAAAACAAAAGCATTCTACTGTCACAGTTAGCCCTGCTACTTGTGAAGGGTCTTGTGTCTAGTTTTGTTTCTGGTCATCTGATGGTCTTTACTACAATACTGGAGTCCAAGCATGTGATCATTGTGCGGTCAAGGAGTTACAGCGGAAGCACTGTACTATAGGCACTGTAGAAAAAAAAGAAGTATAATTACTATGTTCATTAGCTAACCCGATACTTGCTACCGTTACTAAGGGCTTTCCCAACATGCCACGACCACATGCTGGAATTTTTGCGGACGCTTAGCCTTTTACCACATGGTGTTTGGTTCTAATTTCTAAAGTATAGCCCCCCTCACTCAAATTTTGGCTTTTTATCACACATTTTACATCATGAAGAATTCACTAACATAAAATGTCTAAACAAAGCACTTGTGTATAAGTATTTATGTAATAAATACTGAAACAAAGTCACATCTGCTTTTTCAAGAAAGAAAAAACTTCAAGGAAGTAACGTATCTGAAATAAAGACAAGAGTTCCAAATTCAAGTTCTGCCTGTATTATCTTGCCGTGTCAACACCCTGTTTACATTCTTTAACCCCAACCCTCCTCAATCCTTCACCTGTTGGAGGACTGAGGAGTGTTAGGGTTAACTTACAACCCACTCTTTTGAAGGTTTTCCCAATCGGAAAAGTTGTGAGAATTGTTTATTCAGTTTGAAGCAGTATTTTCATATTTTGCTTTACCTTTTAGGGACAGATTGCCAATATACGGTTAACATGTACAAAAACCTCAACAAGCCTGCAGTTGATTCATCCAAAGGGTCACGTAGGAGGCAAGATATGGAATGAGTTGTTTAAAGGACCCAGTCTTCCACATTGGCAATATTACTTGACCCAAAAGATCATTCTACCGGCAAACTTGGTTTGGTAAACAAGGAAAAAAAAACAAAAACACCTACATCTACGAGTCTCACGCACAAGCAACCTTTGAATGTTGACAGTAAAAGGGGCTCTGGCAGCATTTTCTGCAACCCTGTATGTGGTGCCCACGTAAAACCAGATCTGTCACTACATTTCTAGACTGAAGTGTACCGACTTATGCTGGAATGAACAACAGCGTCGTAGTCACGTCAATCACTTTTCAGTCCCTGCCTGATTCAGTGGGTTTTACCCAGAATTTTCTTCTGAGGTATTTTCTCCCATCTCAACAGCTGTTATTACTTTTCATTGTCTCCTCCCTACAAGATTCTTCAAGCTTGGGATCGACGGTTCCTTTTGTGAGGTATCCTGGCTTCATTATCAGAAATGCTTCATAATTACACAGAACGGGGTGAACGGCAACAGCGGAATGAATGCTGCCGTTGTGGTTAATTTCAACAGCTCATGACTTGGCTTAAGACTGGGAAGACTGTGATGGACTTGCAGGGATTTTTTCAAAGATGACTAGCAGGGACTTGTCATGGACTTGACTACATTAGTGAAGAATAAGTATGTGCAGGTGGTGTGTGTCAACTCAAAGGCATTTCATTGCAAGCCAGCAAAATGACCTCTCTCACACAGGGCCCACAACTGCATCGTTTGACACCTACACAATAATACCAGTCGTTACATTTACAATTCTTTGAGCTGACTGCATGCAGTCCATGCAGTGTATAAGTCACAATACATGTATTCTCTTAAAAACATTTGGTTCAATTTCAGTGAGCACTAAAAATTCAACAATGTAATTTTGCTACTTTGTTCACAATTACTGTATAATCTACTAGATTAAAACTTTTGTGATTAGGTGTATTTTCAAAAAAGTTTGTGCATATAAATACTGTCACAATCATTACTGTTCCAATTTAACATCTATAAATTGCACATTTAGCATATTCTTGACAAACATTCTGCCCCATTTCCAATTTTCACTGCAACAGCTTGATCAATTTTTTTTCGGAAGAATCCCCCCCCCCAAAAAAATTCAATCCATTTTCTGGCCTCTGTCTTGCTTCAAATGAAGTTCAGCTTTTCCACAAAAATGTCTGAACATCGAATGAAGCAAAACCCCAACACACTATGCACTGCTGTCAGCAAAGCCAACATCACTGAGGGTCAAAAACCACTTTCCCGATCAAATCTCTACAATACAAATAGCGACCAAACAGCAATATCGCATCAATGTACAATTTGACTTATTCAAAAGGGACAACTGTAACACAGAACAATATACCACAGCTTCTAATCCTAAAACCGCAACAGAAAAACGAAATACAATAAACTTTTCTCCTGAATAACAAACATTATACACATTTCCCACCCTGCTCACACTTGGCTGTTGTTATCAAGGGTGGACCAAAGGGGGCCATGCCTCCTCCCCTTTTGGAAACGTACCAGACCTTTTTTCCGGTGATGTCACGATTGTGCAGGACCTACAATGGGTTGTGATGGTAATGAGTGCATAGTGTTGTGATGGTAATCTACCTATTCAAGATAAACTAGTCAAGCACGAAGTGTTCGCACGTGTGCTTGCACGTAGTTGAAGCCACCTGTAGGAATATATGTGATCACCATGGCCAAGGTGGTCAACATGGTGGTGGTATTGTCACATGGGTGAAAAAGGTCTGTTGAGAGCAAGGCAGTTTTTTTTAACTTTTTCATTATCCTCCCAAAAGCGTGCAAAAGTCCCCCAAAATGAAATATCACCCTCAAAAATCCATGAAAGGTCACACGCACAAATTTTCCACATTTTTTAGCCTCCCCTTCCCCTAATGTTTTTGGTAGTTCTAGATTCCCCCTCGGTTGCATAAGTCCCCCAACATGAAATATCACCCTCAAAAATCCATGAAAGGTCACACACAAAAAAATTCCACATTTTTTACCCTCCCCCGAAAAATCAATTCCCCTTCCCCCAATGTTTTTGGTAGTTCTAGATCCCCCCTTGGTTGTTTCAGAATGCAAACATAAAAAGTTAAGGAACAAAAGCAACATAGCTGATATAATAAATTAAACATTCAACTTTGTTTCTGGCTATTATATAATGTATTACGTGAAAGATGTTTGGTCAAAAGTATTCACAGAACCCTTTACTAATTGCATGCCTTATCACAGAAGCAACAACCACAACCCAAACATTTCCATGTTTGGATTCATTTGGTTTATAGAGGTTTTATAGAGTTATTATACACATCTTGCAATAGTTCACCTTCATGGGGAACATTTAGAAAATGTGACAACGACAGGTTTGGATTCTACAAATAATGCCAACAATCACAAACCTGGCCCTGTGAGAAATACTCAACTGATCCTATTCTGTGAGAAGCTATCAGTATGTAAACTACTCAACAGCAACACACACACACTCGTGTACCCAACCTTACATACCTACTGTGGACATTCTTTTCGTGCAGTTAAAAAACTCAGTGAAAATACTCATTCTTCTTGAACTGGGAACACGATTTTCAGCTGGCTTTTTGTACAAGGTTTCCTTGACTATTCCTCTTCCTTTTACAATAGATGAGCCCTACCCCCAAATGCCTCTAAACTTCTTTTTCAGAGAAGGGGAAACATCCTGTGGACGTGTGTAAGTCCACAGAACGTCTTCCTTTCCTGCATCGTGTGGATATCTTTTGTTCACAAGTCCACACTAGGTATGTAAGGTTAGCGCACTAAACAAAACCTAAATTGAGCATATCATTTCCTCTGCCTCAAAATTTCAATAGAATATTGCCTCTCTCTTTAAAAAACTACAAGCACCTATTCTACAAATCAAATCGATATTGAGAATTTACAGCAGGATTGCTACTTATAGTGACCATCTTTTGCAGCAATTCAATTATCTACAACCTTATTGGATGGTGCACCATTTAGGGTATAACACAACTTTGAAAATCTGAGTTTGGTTACTAACAATGTAGGGTGCTGTGTACCAGCTATGATCACAGTACTGATCAGCATGAATACCAGCGTGACCTATATTTTCCTCCTTTAGCTTTCCAGCATGTGTGTTGAAAAGGGTGTCCTCTTGTCTACAGCCTCAACAATACAAGGCTTAAAATGCTTAACCCAGTTTTTATGAACTGCCAATAGCTTACAAGTAGTTGACTTATGAGGCACTTGACCTCTGCACTCTGACAGTCAAGACGGAACTATCTGGAGGCAAACTTATGTGTGGGCCCGGGCTCCCCACTGTAAAAGGTGATGCGAATAGCTATTGATAACTGGGACAACAGCCTTTATAGCTGGCTGGGGCTTAATCAACAAGATATGTTGACAAGCAAGCACTCAAGTCAGCCCAGCTATGATTTATCACAGTTACTGTGGTACCGGGACTCCTCGATGCATGTAACAGATCATACATACATTACAAACTAGAGGAGAACACTTTGCAGTAATTTTAAAAAAAAAACCTCACCCATGCCCAAAATTGGCTTTTCTATGCATTGTACAACTCTCAATGCGCACAAAATAACATCAAAATGGATACTTTTCTCTGCACTTATCCTGCAAGTGCAGAGGAGCACACACCATAAATACAGGGCTAGTAAAGTTAAAACTAATAATTTCATCAAGAAGATATCCTTAAAACAAGTTTTTTACATGTAAATTCTTTAATGATATCATTTTAAACAGCACCAATGGACTTTATTATGGATACTCTCAAGGAAAAGAGAGCTACAGGGCTGCCAAGAAGCAGAAAATATAAGAAAATATTGGTCAGAGAATTAAGCGGGAAATGAATCAACACTCAATGTTTAGCATAACCAGTGCTCTATTTTTCTAAGTTGGTAACTTTTAAGCTACCAAACTACGCCAACATAAGCTAGAAACTAGACAGGGCAATACGCACCACAAGACACTTAAGCTTGTATCTCATTTTTGCTCAGCGAAAATCCCTATGTTTAGCCAAGATCACGAGCCTGGTATCTCTACAGAATTAACCCCCTAACCTTGGCATGGCTTCATGCAAGCAGTCTCAGCCACGGTACCTACCGTAAAATAAAACATTAAATAAAAACAAGCAATTCCCTTAATTTAACAACTACAGGATAATTTTCAGACATTTTTGTTTGCAAGGCTGATCAACAGAGAGTGACTTCAGAAGATCCAGGAATCGTAGGCCCCCAGGAAGGGGATGCTGTAGACCCAGTCAGGTTCTTGCCGAAGAAACTCTAGGATCTCTGGGCTCTTCTTGAAGTCCGTGTAGTGAAGCCCTGCCACCCCAATGTCAACCACCGGATCAGTGTTGCTGAAACTGTCAGGGACCTGGGCATTGCAGAGACAAGTAAACAAAATGAAGTAAAATGCACCACAGGAGTGACAAAATTTAGCCATTTTGTCTGTGTAACTGGAACAGACGCTTGTCAGTGGGAATGGTATTGATGTGTTCTAGATTTTTTGGCTCATAAAAATGGCACAGAACAAGGCAAAATATGTGCAATATCAAATAACCATAACCCTTCCTGAATACAGCAACTGTGCCCAATTTCATGGCACCGCTAAGCACACAATTTTATGCTAACAGAGGATCTGTGTATTTCATGAAGACCATATGCAGTAAGCACAGCAAATGGCAACATTTGCTTGTAGGCAGTGACAAAACAATAGAAATCTCTATGCGTGCACAACCACACCAAGCACCACCATGAAATTGTGCTTACGGTTAGCAAAATTTTCCGCTACCGTAAACACAACTTTTCTGCTAAATGTTAAGCAGTACCATGAAATTGAGCCCTGGTCTTTAAACCCTGCTTTCAATTCATCATCTTTCCTTCTTTGACCACTGACCTTTAATCTACATGACCTACTTCCCCTCTGTCAACAGGTCTCAGGTCTAGCTCCAAACCGGCCATGAACTTTGGCCTGCATTGGACCAAGCACCAAATGTCATCCTGGGTCACCCCATTAATCTCTACCTTCCTGCTTCACCCTATCTTCCTACCATGCATACTGCCCCCACCCCAAATGTTCATGCCATGGCACCTTCAAATCTAGCCAGACTTGCTAACGATCTTGGGGCTCCCCTCCCCTGTAGCCGCCCTGGGTCTCTCCCCACTCTGCCTGCTAGCCTAGAGTGTTCCCCCCACCACCCAAAACACTGAACGTGTACCTTCAGATCCAACCAGAACTGCCAGTGATCTTGGGGCTCCCCTCCCCCATAGCAGATAAAGTACACCCATCCCCCGGTGCCATCATGTGTCTTCAATGGTTTCTCCTTGCTTAAGGACCAACGTGCCATCTCCACCCCTTCCCTCAAGGAGATAAACACGTTCACGTGGCTTGGACCTGTCAAGTGGAAGGAAAATCAGTGTCAACCTCCATAATCTTTTTTCAGTAAAAAGTCAGAATATTTTTCAAGTAGCACCATATGTTATGCTAAGCGCAGACCAATCACCCTCAACAACACAAATTTGCAATTCTACCGAGGACACTTCAGCAAATATTTTTGTCGAAGGCAAAAATCAAACAACAGAAGCTTCATTAAGGTTTATCTGCCTTCAATCCACAAATTTCCCATGAAAAGCTGGAAAGTTTTGAATGTGTAAATACCCTCAATGGTTTGGTGTTTGTGGCAAGTTCACCAACTTACCAGAAACGGTGAACGTCAGATTCTGATGGTCTGCTTTCTTCACACGGGAGTTGAGGTGAAAGGTTGTCTCCACATCTATGTCTGGCTCACCACCTGGGAGGATCCACTGGTGTCTAGGGAAGACAAGTAAAATAAGGAAGGTCACATCCTGTACTGTTACAAGTTATCTTTTATTATCAACATAATTTTGTTAAAAGCTAATATCTCCGTATGGAATTGTCTGTATTTTTGGGGGGTCACCATAAAACTGGCCTGTTTAGAAACAAGAACTAGTGTCGTGAAGGAAAAGTCTAAAAAACTTGAAATGCTCTTGAACTGGACTGTTCCTGTGTATTGAAAGAACTGGGTACAATGTTACGGAACAGACACACAAATCTGCTTTGTGAAGAAACAATTCATTAAGCAAAACAAGTTCCCAAACAAAATGCTAATTAATATAAGCTGTTTGCAAATGGCTCGTCTAATATTGCTGAGCATGAAAATTGGCTAAGCGACAGTTTTTGTTGAGCTCTGTGATACTGAGCTTAAATGTTTTAAGCTTTTCCAAACTGGGAAGCATGTTTCCCAATGCCAATATGCCAGGCTCTTTAACTCTCACGGACAATTTTTTAAAAGGACTTTACCTAAAGACATGCAGCAGTGGTAGGTAGTAAGGATACCCACAGTAGGGCATGTCCTTCCTACACTCTGCAATGGGAGCATCTTTGAGGGCTGGGATGTAAGACTCCATGTGTCTGACACCCAGGTAGTCTAATGGCAAAACAGATAAGTAAGTGTCATGGTCCACAGCAGCGCCGGACTGATCGTGCTTGGTCCTGGTTACATGCTGGTGAAAAGCAGATACATAGAACATCAAGAGAAAAACTAACAACTGTATGCTGACTTACATTATGCCTTACAAAATCTTTTAAATATCCAACTTAAGGTTTTGGGCAGTTTTGCAAGATGGATAAAGTATCCAGCAATAATGCTCACATTGAGTGATTAGTAAGTTTAACATTTAAATTTCAGATCCAGCAGTTGCTTGCAAATTAACATCCAAGTGCTCTGCAATGCAAAGCTGCCACAGCCATAAGCATTTGAGATGACTTTCCACCACAGAGAGCCAGTCCCCGTGTCACCGAGCACACGCAGTATTACGACCTAACTTAGGCAAACATATTAGGTGGGATAAGATGTGTCAAACAAACAGGAAATGGCCTATTTTACAAACTGATCATGTTTTTGTAAAGCTCATTATTGCCAAAGTTATCAAGTTTTATCCAAGAAATGAAGCACTTTGTTTCGAGGAAGTGATGAAAAACATATTTGGCTGTGAAAGAATTTTGAGATTGGCTGCCCAATTCTGACAAAGAAAACACTTTTTTTTAAATTGCGAGAGGATCTAATTCAATGACTGGTTATGGACTGCCGTAATACTGCAAAGGAAGTTGTTGTAAAAGCTGCGATTGTCTTTGTCCAAAATGTTTAAAATAACTAAAGGTTGCAAAAGCTAAACAAAATTTTCATGAAATCGACAGTATACTGTGCAGCGATGTCACATAAATTTGTGGCATAAGGCTTGTGCACTTGGTGAAAAATCAGTGTGTCGTGTCTCACCTCCAGCAAGATCCTCTTTGGTGCAGGTCTTGCTGGGTCACCAGAGTAGGGGAATGCAACACGGCTGACGACTGCTGCCAGACTTGCTGCGAAGACCAGGAGCAGAAATGCCTGAGTGTACTTCAGGGAACGGCAAACATGGATCAGGCACACCTGCAGCATTACAAGGGGAACACAAACTGTGTGGGGCTCTTTCAGTAACTTCGGTTAAGTCTACAACACCTGCCAGCCGACTAGCCGCCATGAACTGTTGACAACCAAAACTGAACTCAGTGCAAAAGAAACAATAGACTATGTACTTTTGTCATAATTAGCCCAGCGTACTTCACTTTTTCAAATAAATAAGATGAAGCTGATTGTTATCCACAGTCAGAAAATAACTGAGCGGTGAATCAAATTTTGCAGGCACACCTTGCAGGACCTTTTTTTCCCCGCCCAAAAGTTCCAAGTAGCTCTCCATGCAACAAACATGTATTTGAACGTTGTCCCCTTTTTAAGCTTTTGATTTTTCGCAATGGCCAGATTTTCACACAAACACCCAACTGACAAATTTGAACAAAAGTAGTGTCAAACTCAGTGTCCAGAACACTGGTCTATGTACATGTGTGGCAGTGAAAATGTAGCAAGATAAAACACTTTCTCAGATTGGCTCCGAGTTCTGATCATCAAAAACAGTTGAATACCTTCATTTTTTTACATAAAGAAAATAAAAATACATGTACAATGTATAAAGACTTCTCAACCTTACCAAGTAATTGGTTGCCAAAGCAACCACGATAAATGTCAAGAAGCCGACAAACAGCTCCGGTGTGATGAGGTTGCCTGACCGGCCCATAATGGGTAGGAAGATCCCGTAACCCAGGAACATGAGGTACAGCATTATAGTCAATGGAACTATCGTCATACAGATATAGGCTGTCAGGACCAGCATGGTCTTTGTACCTGTCAATGAAAGCAAGTGATCATGTACATGTACTCATGAAGGTTCTCCTCGCAATGGGATATTTACTGCAGGCATGTATTGGAGTCTAGACACTAATAATACGCTGGGCATGGGTTGGCTCTGCTTCCTATTTCTTATTTCAATCTAAACTGAGTTTTACACAGGATAAGTCCCCCTTTTCTACCTGTTGCTCAACAAGAAGATACAATGTGTCCGAGTTCTTTTAGTGATACTGAAGCACAATGTACAAGCTTGTGAACTTATTCCATTGGGTGCGTGCATGTAGTCTTTACAACACCCATGCACAAACTGTTACTGTAATAGAGTACCGAAGTGTGACGTCAGAAAGTGCAGTGCAAACGAATGGAGTACGCGCGCATGTTGGTTCACACGCTGGTTCTCGCGCTCATGCCTTTTACACACTAATTGTGCGCGTGACGTATTCACTTCGGTACTCTATATACAAGTTGCTGCAGGTGCTCCATCAAGTACTGCACTTCTGAAGAGGCCACGTACGTGTACGTCACGGTGTAGTCCCCTTGGCCACAAATGCAAAGATACATGTACCATCAATTCCACCAGCAATAGGGCTGCACCTGGAGCTGGTGTCTAGAGCTACACTGTAGGTCTTGGCTTTCCTGGCAACAAATATGTGACGACATACATGCACATGTACATGTACTTACACCGCCATTGCTCGTCTGTAATCCCATTTTTGAAACGGCCTCACTTACTGATAAATTGAGTGACTTTTGATTGAATCAGCTTGTATGTAGACATGGTAGATGCAGACAAAAGTCAGACTGGATTTCTATTTCATTTTCCGAACTCAGGGACACCAAGCATTCTGGAAATATTACTACCAACATATGGGGCTGGGGGTTAAGTTATCTTTTTACGGATAAAACAAACTTGGACAGTTATTTGTGAGAAAAACCCAAGACCTGGACATACCACTGATCTTGTGTTATACGGCTTACATGCACTTGCACTGGCGAGGTGTCTGTGCCCAAGTTTAATAGGGAGTAAAATCCAAATCCAGTGTTGGAGCATGGCGATACAATCCTTGGCAACCCATGATTTCTTTTCAAGGGCTCACCCACCTTCCCTCAGTGTCTTCATCCCTTTCCACATGATGTTGCGCCCCAGCAGGGCAAACATGACGCTCAGCATGGGCATATAAGCCGAGCCGATCCCCTTCAGCGTTAGCACAGCAATCACCATCGACCACATCAGGAGGTTGGCATCAAAGAACACACCCTCCAGAATCCAAGGGTTGGCCTTGCTGTCCACCTGAGCAAGGTCAGAAATACCAATGGCAATTTATTGGCAGCTTTGGTGAATTGCTGACGTGTCTGTGACATTGAGCAGGAAAGAAATCCTGTGTCTCGAGCTCGGGATCCAGAGCTGCCATTAATAACAGAAAACATTACTAAGCAAATTTAAATGTTAGTTAGCAAAAACTGGGTGAGTACCAGTCGAAAGCAATGCACATCACAGACATGTTGGGCTAGTGCCCTGTCTTCTGTGCTTGGCAGCCGTATAAAATTGGTGTTGGGTCTTTGAATTTAGTTTTGGAAGGCCTACAAATTGAGCAATGGTTGGCTTTATTTTAAAGGACCAGCTACATGTACATGAAACTTCCAACAATTTTTCCTTTCTTTTTGCAAGCTCATTCTACACGTAGTATCATACAGCATCGAAGTATAATTTGAGAAATTCAAAATTTCACTTTCACCCTCATTGCAAAGTTAGATAGAAGGCTTATGAACAAATATTAAAGCCACCACAATACTTTTCCGGTTAGACTGTCCGTACACGAGAATCTGCACTGCACTCTTAACACTGTGTGTTCTGCTACTCTTTCTTAACTCTGCACACAAGAAAAGTGCTCAAGAAAATTCCCCATAAAACGACCCTTGAGCCAAAAACGGGAGGTGATCACAGAAAGCAGAGAAAGCAAAGCAAAGAGTCTTTTTTCAAGAGGAGACAAGATGATTACCTCTTCAAACTGCCCTGCATCAAGGGTGAAGAGTGTACACATAAAAAGACTGCCACTTTAATAGGGTGCTGTCTTTGGGGGGATTTACAACAATACCGACTCCAGCGACAGTTCAAAAGTATACTTCTGGATCCAACAATTGTTCGTACTGAAATGACAAGGCACAATGCAGATGTGACAAAGGTCTGCGGAAGCCCAATGTGAAATCTCTTTTAGGAGTGAGCGAGGTTCTGAAATGAAATGGTGTACTCAATGCTTCAGAGAGCATACGCTGTGCTCACTGATCAGTAACAAAGATTTTTGTGGACAATGGATGGACAAGCTGTCTCAAAATGTTGCCTTCACTGGTCCTCTCCAAAACTCCACTCACTTTTAACAGAGACTTCAAAAGGAGCTACTGCAAACCCTCACCATTTTGCTAATGGCCATGCAAACCTTCAAATCATTATTTTGACAGCAGATGTTTCGACCCTGAAACAACACCACCCTCTTAAAGGCTGCATTTCTAAATGCACAACACTATATCTAAACAAGTGTGTACATGTACAAGAAGAGTAATTATTTATATGATCAATAAACAGCTGTGGTTTACCATTAGTGACAGATTAGGGGTAGCAGAACTAACCGATTTGTCACAATGGCTTCCATGTGACCCTTTCACAACAGGATGCAAATACACGTAGGTGAGATGCAGCTACTACACACATGGAACTGACTTTGGAAGGGGAAGAAAGCCAAAATACCATACGTGTGGCCCCTTGCTCCACCAATGAGCAGTTTTTTCGAAAGGCCTAGATCCTTTGACCCAAAATTCAGGAAAAGGCTCTGGAAAAATATACAATCAAGCATAACAGTGACAGTTTCTGACCATCAGTTCTGTTTTTTAATTAGAGCAGGAAAAATCTGTCACATTTCAATTGTACAAAGCATAAAAAAATTCAAAAACCTTGTGCTGAAATACAGTGTGTTAATGGTATATTGACGTGCATGTGTACATGTTCGTGTAGCAAATCCGTTTTTTGTTTCTTATAGAGAACTTGGGTGCTAAGTTAGTCTACCTATAAAAACAACAACAGTAAATCATTGAAAGTGAGGGTAAAATCCTTGTCCTTTTGATGTTCATTACCATAGCAGCCAGTCCAAACCAACCACGGCAAATTTCAAAATTTATGAATGTAAGAAGGTACCGGTGCTTGATCCGTGTTTTAACAGAGTAAGTAAACTGAAGGAAAAGTGACCTTAAACAAACAAGTCACTGGAAAGTATCCAAAAATGCATTGATGAATCTGTATTCACATTCCACTGAGACACATCTTAGTGTCCGTCATCTGTTCCGGACATTTCCAAGCACTTACCGGTGCTTAACTCTGAGAGCAGCTAGACAATGGTTTTTTAGCATGATAATCTCATCACAGGGAAGGCATCCAATTATGTTTAGGAGCAATCTTAGGAGGACAAGGCCTCCCATTCAAAGAAGTGGTTAACAATGTACACATGTACATGTACATTAAGCAATAATCTAATATAATTCTTAAACTCTAATACTGAATTCACTCACCGTATGCAGCTTGCCGCCCAGCCACCGGTGCACCACTGTGATGATGTAGAAGCTGGGGGCCCAGTACAGGCCGCCGATGAGGGCTGGATTGGCATACCAGGACATCTCGGACTTGGTGAGGGTGAGTAGGAGGATAACAAAGACTATGGTGAGCAGGATGGCCAGGTAGGACACGAAGATGACACCCACAGCGCGAAGCACCTTAGACACGTACATCTGGTGACTGGGAAAATCTGAACGGAGCAGAAGCGAATAACCGAATATCAGCTGTTAAAAGCAACAAAGCACATTTTTAAATTGAATTTAAAATACTACGCAGTATTTTGAGTTTGTTCTAGAAGCTACCTGTCATGAATTCTCTGAACATATGGTTGTACATGTAGATGTAATATAGACACATGTGCACCTACGTAACTGTATGACCCCATGTGTCTGTGAGAACATAGGGAATGGAACAATCACGTAAACACTCATTCCGAAAAAAAAAGGCAAGAAGCTGGCAACAAGCCATAAAGATACACATGCATCTTTTGACTACACATTTACAATAAACCTCTTCAATCCATGATCTTTAATGTCAGACATTGTCCAAAATGGGCCATACATATACATGACATTAGTTGTCTAAGGTCGTGGCTCTTCTCTACAATGGGCCAGAGGTATCAATATCCTTCATATGTGCTGCCATTAAAGCTGGTGGCTTGCAATAGTGTAACTGGAGTTGTGACATAGAATGCATAGGTTGTACTGTAGAGCTTAAGCTCTCTTCTGCTACATGTGCAGGTTTGTCACAAGTGCAGTTTCTGCTAACCAGTGGCTGGCAAAACTATACGGCTGGCCGTGAGAATAAAAAAGAATAATTCACCAAGTGTTAGAAAACCCCATGCAAATATTCGAACTCTAAAAAATGATACAGTCTCATAATATAAAATATGAAAATGTGTCCCACTTCAACACAGATGAAGCAAAACGTGCATTCTGAGGCAAAGGTTGTAACAAACTACGGTAAGGGTAAACTTTCAGCCTATTTTGGCAGCCCATACAAAATGGCACTCGGTATTAGACAGGTCTGTGCTGGATGGCTGCATTCATCAAAGTCCACATCTCCCCTTTCATCACTCTTTTTTTCCCAAATGGCCCACTCTGATTGACCCACCTTGCCGGCGCCGGCACAACGTGCTGAGAAACACCGCCCCCACCACCACCGAGTTGAGGATTACGCCCACCCTGGCTGGGTAGGCCACCATGACCAGGCCCAGCAGGTCAAAGAAGACCATTTTTCCGTGACGGTCCTGCTCGATGCCGTTGTGCAAGGTGGAGGAGTTGGCCAGGTGTGTGGCCAGGGCTTGGATGTTGTCCCCTATAGTGGGAAAGACAACATGAAGAGTGTTCTATTTCTGTAAGAGGTTATAGGCTGGTCCCAATAGATGAATCCAGTGGCCATGGTGATGGTGTCACTGATTATTTAGAGTGACCTCTGCCAATGGTGGTAAATGTTGTGATCAATATTTTATAAAGCCACTGTTCCATGACAATCCTTCTAAACAAAATTCAACACACTGCTTTCCATCAATGATGGGGCCACCATACTAGTATTTGTCTGATTACACATCGCTAGATTCGTCTATATACTCCACAAGGTATGGATGGTTTTCAGTTTCTTTTCAACAATAGTGCCAACAAGCAACCATCACCAACTAAACCAATAGACTATCAACCAATCACCAACTACCGCTAAACAGTAACCCACCAACCAATCAATCTTCTCATCAACCGACCCAGACACCCACCAACTGGCTAACCAAAACCCCCACTTACCCAATCCCATCCCAACACTACCCAACCCTACCCATTCCACCCACTGCCCAATCTACTACCTACATGTATGTATCACTCAATAAATTCCACCCAACCATCAACAATCAATCCCAGCAAAATGGAAGGCAAACTAAGAGACTCTTGGGCGTCTTCAAAGTATTTGTGGATAGATGGGGGAGGTGTGAGGATGGGAGTATGAGAGATATGGCACACCCCAGAAATTGCTTTTGGAAAATTTTTTTGGGGGGAGGGTACTATTTCACTGCCCTTCCTTTCAAAAGCACATAAAATGCCCCTTATAAGTGGCCCTATCCTTAAGAAAGGCCATAAAGGTTCCACATACATGTACACGCACCAGGTAGGAATTTCAAGATTTTTTGGGCCCCCAAAAGAATTTGCCCCCTCCCCGAAAAAAATTGTTTTGGATCTGCCTTTGCATCAGAGGAGAGAGAAGGGCATGTGATCCCTTTCTGACATGTTTGTCCAAGTCCTTGCTGTTGATACCAGTATTTCTCAAACTACTGTACAATCAACACTGCCACAAGAAGTCAGATAGTATTCTCCTCACCATCCACTTTGAAAAGCGCCACCTAGTTTCAGACAGTGGCCAATAAATTACCGGTACCAACACTACAGGACAGTTTCTAGTCACGTTTCCAGACATATTTTACAGAATAAAACACAGTAATCAATCATGAAGTGGCTCTGTGAACCAGCACAGATCAAATCCCACTTATCCCAATCTCACAAGCAATTGTTCTAATGACATCCCTTTAGGTTCAGACATTACATCTCTGTTCCACTGGAAATTCTCCTTCCATCCCAACAGCTTTGATTGTGAAATCCTGAAAATGCTCCTGGTATATAGTTCACAGGCAATAAAGTGGTTTGGCCAGGAATAAAGAGAGCTGTCTATGCCTCATTTGCCTGGCCAGCTCTAGTGAGAAAAAAACAAATGAAGCCTGTGATGACAGATGGATGGGGGGCTGCACAGAGACAGCGGGGAGCAATCGATGCAGCATGAGGGTATCCAGGGATACAGGCACTGATGGAGATGATAATGATGCTGATAATGATTTTTTTTTAATGTGATTATTAGGTACCGTGGTGATCTCCACAAAGACAGAACACGGAACTGTGACTGTCGACAAGCCTTGGTTACAGGACACTGGATGACATGTAAATAATGATATTTACAGCAATGCTAAGCAGCTTTTAACAGTCTCTAGAATTTTCTTTTTAAATGTCCATTGAAAACTTGGTGGCGTGCGGGTGCTGAACTCAAGATCAAAACTCTTGCTCTGGTCAGTTTTCTTTGTTCAACCAAAAATGGGTTTTAAGAAGAAACCTCTGTTCCCTTTGAGGTTTCTTGGTGATTTGAAAAGGAAGTTTTAGAAATTTGTGAGAAATACATTCCTAACATCTGGAGTTCATGATCCCTGGACCCAACCACTGCATGCAGAATGAGGATAAAATGGAGATAGTCCCCACATGTATGTGGTTTGACTGTACTTTGAGATTTTCAACAGAAGAGCACAGACAGGGTACATGCACTATGAAGGTTCGAATCCCACTCTGCAGAAGTTTCATTAACGGATCCAAACTTCACAAGACTCTGGTCAGTTCCTCTTCTGGTTTTGCTTAATAAACAGATAAAGCCACCAATATTTTGAATGTCTGGCCTTAGCCAATCCGCTTTGAGCAGAAACACTCCCTCATCGGTTGAAAAAAGCCCTGTTGGTGGGGAGGGTTAGTCTTGTTGGTAGCCACATGACCATAACAAGTACATTTTGTAGTTGTTTGTGAACTAGCAAAGTAAAGATCCCACCAAAGGAGCCTCCACTGCTAGGAAAACTGTACCCTCTGTTGGTTTCTACTGGTTCAGATCTACATGTAGTTATAAGAAGTGGATACAGCTTCTAGCCCGCAGCTACTCCAGTCACAAGTATCGCACTACCAGTGGTAGTGCTACGTGGTGTCATGTGGGTGTCAATGCACCCACTGGAAAGCTGCTTGCACCAACATTTGCACCCACAAAAATTTTGTAACATATTACGACAGGGTGATCAACCTTTTCAGTTTACGATTCCGCATCATAACCCTGGAAAAATGAAGGATTATTTGCACCCATGCCATTCTGCCTTGTCCCACACTTGCACCCGCAGCTGCCGAGGTCTAGCGCTGCCACTGCCACTGTGCTAGCCACAGCCAGGATTTTAGACACAGTCAGCTTATGAGAATTCACATGGTGGATGGGCGTGGCACAACAAACAAGATGATCAACACCATACACCCTTCTTCAGAATACAGTACCTACCGCAGCATACCGGTACTTACCAGATCGCTGTATGCAGCCTGGAGGGATGGAGTCCAGGTTATCGTACTTGGTGTGGTAGACATAGCCGTTGCTCACATAAGCTATATCAACACCTAAAAAGCATGCATGAAAACAAACTGGTAAAAAGCAGGTCTACAATGTAACTCATAAAGTAAGTATAAAGAGTTGACCTGCATACATGTACAGGCAAGACATGTATACCAGTACACGTATGCAATCAGACCAATATAAAAAGCGGTCAATCAAGTGCACAATCACTTTTAAACTACATGTACATTTTACTGGTATTTATAGAAAAAGGGGTCTTTCCTACAAAGGTTCACCATGCATGCTCCGTGTTGGATACATGTGCATGTACATGTAATTCCAGTACATGTCATTTGGCCGGGACAATGGAAGAGCAACACGTTCCTATTATCTTATAGGGACTGTACAATCTGTACTGCATGTAGGCCTATATACAATACATTCAAATAAACCAAACACAATAGAGTTTATTG